AATTCATAAGTAATTTAGGAGAAGAATACAATTGTTACGAAGTGGATGTCATTTTAAATGTCTAACAAGAGCAAAAGGAAAAAGAAGTCATGTGCTTTTAGGTGTGCCAATTAATCTCTTCTATGGTTGATCTTGAGTCTCGTATGGATGGTGTTTTCGTCTCTTTTGATTTATCTATTACCGATCTTTTAGGATATCAATTTCCCTAGTCAATCATTGTACTGCGTCTATTTTATTTATATTATAATATTTATATTAAATTCATCTAATTTATGTGAAGAAAAATTTAAACTAAATTTGTAGTGGCTTGTATTATTTGGTTTTTATCATGGTTGATTCTTGAAATTGAACCTCCCAATTAAAATGGTTCCCGAAATAGAAAATTCATCAATTTGGTACTTTAAAATGGGTTTTGCGAATCATTTTGGTTCTTTCATCACCTTTTCCTTAATTTTTCTGTTAGTGTGTTGTTGTGACACACGAATAAATCCCACCTTTTTAATTATGTAGTGCCACGCAAATCAACCATAAAAAATTAAAGAAGATTTGAACTTCTAAAAGTGATAGAACTAATAAAAATGAAAAACCAATAAACAACTTGAAAAATAAAAAATAAAGAAACTGATGATCGTCATCTTCAAGGAGCAATTTCCAGCACCTCCCTCCCCGCACCTCCGCCCTCCCTACGCCACATCCAGAACTATCTCCTTTCGCCCTCTCTCTCTCTCTGGTAGAGTTCCAAACTTCCAATCCAGCTGGAACATTCAATCTTACTATCTTAGTGGGTGAAGCCTACCGCGAACACAGGATTTGACTCTTCCAACAACCAATTTCTCACCCATGTGACCCTCCAAGAAATAAAACAAATTAGGCCCTTCTAAAAATATTCTTTTATTAATTCTTTAATTATGCAAATTGATGGTGCATGCATGCATAGTTTGAAATTTGATTCTCTTTTTTTCTTTTTCACTTGGTCTCGACAATAACATTATTAAAATGTGTCCTACGAAAACATCCAAATAGCTTAGGTAAGGTGATATTTCGTAATATTACTAAATTTGGTTCTAATTTCCATATGCTAGAAGGAGTATATGCAAACATTTCTTTATCTACAAGCAATAAAAACTTGAGATCTCATGCTTTAGACAACGAAAATGAAGGTAAAAATACAATGTAGAAGAATGCTACAATCGTTGATGAATATCAATCTTCTAATGAGACTCATCTTAATCAACAACTCATACAGTCGAAGATGAACGACTGCGCGACTATATCTAGAATGTTTTTATACAACCTAACTTAGCTTTCATCACAATTTGACAGCGAGAGAGTGTGTGTGTGTGTGCGTAATTAGAAAAGTTGGATATAAATTGTCATGGGTCGTATTGGTGGTTGAGAGGAAGACCAAGACTTGGATGCGGACAGTAAATGTGTGAAAGAGCACATCATCAGTCTTATAGTTCATACTTCATACTTTGCCAACCGACATGATCAATTTATAGTTTCTACCCTCAATAATGCATTCTGATGGATTGAAATTTATTCTTCTCACCATTCTCCGTTGTTGTTTTCTAAGTAACATTTTTGGAACTTTTTAAAAGAGAAATAATAATTAAGGAAAGGGACTGATGGAAGAAGGCCTAAAATTTTCTTTTTAAGAAAGCAATGGGTTCTTTCTTAAAAAGGGTTTAGGCTTTTAATTAACGCCGAACTAGAAAACTATAAAAACTAAACATATAATTATTATGATATGTTGAAATATCCAAATTTATGAGAAAATAAGAGTTTATATATTCTAAACTTCACTCCAACTAATACCGAAGCCTTTTTATGATAAGTCCACACACTTGCTAGACCGTGCATGTGGTATTAATAAGTTAAGGATAATATCGATATTGTACGAAGTAGGCATTTAACCTGTCTCTTTGATAATTTGACATGATATATACTGATATTCAAGTGTCATTGCATCCACTGCTATGTTAGCCTCTCGAAAAATACAAAATAACATAAAAATCATTTCGTGAAATTAATGACAAAATCATGCATGTTCTGTTTTTGCATCTATTTTCGTTTTTTGTTTTTGCATCATTGTTAGGCTTTAGCTGGTGGCAAGTAGTATTCTGGAATCCAAAAAAAAAATGTTGTTGGCTGATTGAGCTGGAGGTTTCCTCAGTCATGATAAGTGGGGCCAAGTTGTTGCAGGAGACGTTGTCACTTGGACTTTTCCTATTTATCCGTACGTAATCGGACGGTGGCGAAGGCTATTTGCTTTTTGAAAGCATTAGCCCACGAATAAAGTCATTCTTCTTTTCTCACTTATTGAAGTCACGATTGACTCATTTGCAATTTATATATAATACACATGTTATTCTATTGGAAATTATTACATATAATTTCTTTTTGAATTTTTATATTAGCATCCCACAAAATATTGAATGTATCTTATGTTAAAATTTAATATTAAATGACTTATTTACCTCATTATGCAATGACAATTTTGACCTTATTAGATTTTTTTTTTTTAATTCTAAATACATCATAAATCACTTTTAGCGTATTATTTATCTTTTCAACTATCAAAACCCTCCCACCCTCTATTGTTGAACAAAACCCTAACCAATGAAACTACAAACATGTTGATTGAAAAAAATTATTTTTGACGAATGGAACACGAAATCTAAGTTTCGGAAGCTTCACATGAGGTAAGACTTCATATTTTTCATTGTGTTAGTGTTTTTGATGAATGGAACACGAAATCGATGTTTTCTAGCAATCCTTGCAGGAGAATCATATTCCTCAATAAGACCTGCAACACGATCAAAATCACATTATAGTAAATAACTATGAAGATCATTAGGAAAGTTGAATGGATTCATATGGCAATACTAACTGTGACTTAGAAGCAGAACCATGTCACAGTCAAGAACATATGTTATACAATGCGCAATAGTAATGACTGTAGTGCAATCAGTAAAGTGATGTCAAAGGGTCTGCTGGATCAGATGTGGGGTGTATGTACAAAATATAAGGTGTATATTGAGAATGTGGGGTGTGGGGGTATTATGAAAAAATATGTGGGGTGTATTAAAATAATTTTTAAGTGAAAAAGCAAATGTGGGGTGTATTAAGTATGTGGGGTTTATTTAATAATTTGTAGGGTGTTAATATAATAAGCCTTTTTTTTTTGCGCATTTACGCTTGTTTTTATACATTAATTTTTTATACAACGTTAATAAGGTCAGCCTAAGTTACATAATATTCTTTAGAATCTTTCATAGAAGTCGATTTCAAGAACTATATTTACGAGTGAGTACTAGTAAGTTACATAATAACTTTAGAGTCTTTCACAGAAGTCGATTCTTAGGGCCTTAAGTTTGATTACAGGAAAAATAGTTAGCTTCACTTTTTGACTCAGCGAGCACAACAAAACTTATAAGGTGATACTTACAATCATAGTCATTATATCATTTATATTAAGAATGCAGATCGAAGGCAAAAAGAATTAATGAAAGTATCGAATTGTATATATCTCGAAGCCAATGCCAATAGCGTATTACTTGGATCGAGTTTAGGGCTCTGAATTAATGATAAGATCTTGCTTAGTGACTTGAGCCTCTAGTTTAATTAAATAAAGCTTTAATATGAATTAACTGAAGCATTAATTAATTGAACACATGAAAATTTTGAAGAAGATGGAGGGATATGACCAAGCGATCGAAATGCTACATGTGGGTGAGCGTGACAAAACATTTTCAGCTCCAATTTGTTGAATAAATCCAAATAAAGAAAACGATTGCTCTAATTCTATTTCACTGTACGGGCACCTTAGCTAGGGCATACCATGAAGTAAATGGAAACCCACAACATCCAACTAATCCAAGTTATTTAGATGAATCATATGATATTAAACCAAATTAATAGTTATAACTCGTAATTAGTCTTGTTAGAGCATCTATAAAGGAGATGTCAAATTTTAACCATCAAAATGATATTTGATGGCTTATGTGACAATTTGACATTTTATACAATTTTTTGCTCCACCCGATATGTTAAACAATAATGTATTTTAGAATTTTTTTTCCATCTCTTTGTGAGGTCCAATTATTGAGACAACCAATCAAATACTTAGAACACAACACCATTTATTATATATTGCATCATATCCATTAATAAAGTTATTAAATGAATTTGAAAGTTGTTGTCAAATTTGACAGCAAAAGGTTTTGCCTTAAATTGATCAATGTCACGTAAGAAATTGAAAGCTCAGTTGGAAAAAGGTTGCTGCCATATTTTACTGTTGTATGTTTATGTGGCAGTTTTGACATCTCCTTTAAAGATGCTATCAAAAATCACATGGTGACATTGGGTATTTGTGTATTAATATATAAACATGTTGATATGGTTGAGTAATAAGGAAATACTAGTCGTTAAATAATGCCTTTGTGCTGAAAATAGATGGGTCACCCATAGCCACTACCTTGGTATACTATAGCACCAAACAATTTAATATACCAAACAACGTTGCCTACACTAGTAGACCCCCTTCCCTTCCCCTTCCAATTGTCTCCTTACGGCAAGGTTAATTAAATTTTTGTATATGATATCAATCTATTAATCTACAGTATATGTTAAAGTTCAAAAATTATTGATGATTATCAGTTAGTTTTACCAAATACCATAGATTGATACATGATATCGAATAATCTTTTCATTCAATTAAATATTCATTTTCCTCATAGTTAGTGAAACCATCAAATGTCACTAATTAAACACATTACAACTTTCACCTACTTATTTTTATACATTTGCTTTCCACCATACATACATGATCCACCACATACTATCATCATCATCCTTAAAACAAACCATCTATAATATTACAATATATATACCCACACGCAGAGATCCCTAACCAAAGCTTATTGATAAGAGGGCGAAGTCATCTCAAATCTCAAGAAAAGCAGAGAGCGAGAGCGACTAGAAACTCAACCCTCCTCTCCTCTCCTCTCTCCGCCACAACAACCGCTATGTCATCGAAGGACTGCGGCCACCATGGCCACAGCAAGTGGAAGAAGAGAATCCGCCGCGGCTGCGCCGGCCTCCTAATCTTCAACTTCATCCTCCTCGTCACAATTCTCATCGTGTGGGCTATCCTCCAGCCTTCCAAGCCCCGCTTCGTCCTCCAAGACGTCACTGTCTTCAACTTCAACACCTCCGTCCCCAACGTCTTCTCCTCCAGCTTCCAGGTCACCATCTCCTCCCGAAACCCTAACGACAAGCTCGGCATCTACTACGACAAGCTTGACGTCTACGCCACGTACCGTTCGCAGCAGATCACGTTCTCGACGCTCATCCCGCCGGTGTACCAAGGCCACAAGGACGTCAACATCTGGTCGCCGTTTATCTACGGCACCGAGGTCCCCATCGCTCCGTACAACTCCATCGCTCTCGGGCAGGACCAGAGTGCCGGGTCGGTTCTTTTGCTCATCAAGATAGACGGCCGGGTCAGGTTTAAGGTCGGCACCTTCATAACCGGACGGTACCATTTGTACGTCCGGTGCCCTGCTTTTATCCCTCTGGGTTCCCAGACCACCGGAATTGTGGTCGGTAATAACGCCGTCAAGTACCAGCTGGTGCAGCGCTGCAGTGTGAGCGTATGAAGAAATTGGAGGCAAAAATTGATGTTGCCCTTAATTGTTGGTCCAACGCCGTTAGTTGAGTTCCTTTTTCTCATGTTTTTATTTTATTTTAGCTTTTTTTAATTTCTGTCTTTTGTATTTGGATAATTACATATATACGTTGGGCTTGGAATTGTACATTTTGCTATAGAATAAGCATGGAGGATTTTATGAAATAGACGTATAGCAAAATTGCAGTCGGTGGTAATTGAATTTTAAGTTTTATAATTTTTATAGTTTTATTAATATAATATGAAATCAATAATCCTGCATTTTTTTTTTGGGGCACATAGCAACTTGGGAGCAAGTGGAGGTTGGGGTGTCAATGTCATTTTATTTCATTTTCAATTTGCCCTTTTAAAATTTTCTATTGTTGCTTGTTGTTCACTCATTTTCTAATTTCTATTTTATTGTTTCTCTCTCACTTTCTCACTTTTGTTATATATATTTTTAATTAATTAGCCTTCCTTTTACTGATTTAGTTATAGTACTTAGCTGGAGAAGTCTTCTTCGCCAACTTTTTCCTCAACATTTTTTCTGATTCTTTCACATGGGAATGGTCTTATTATATGTAGTCCATCTCATTTTCTTGTGAGAAGTTGGAGAAAACAAGTTTTTTGGGAAAATAATTGAACTCTAGAGCATGATTTTCTTATTAAAAAAAGTGATAGTACAAAGAAAGGCCTAAAAATGGCCAGAAGCCAAGGAGAAGAATATTGAGTGCATAAAAGTATACAGTTTATGTTGAATGTGATAAATGTTTGCTTGTACTTATGACTATATGAGTGGCCCTCTACAAAGTATGTGGGGATGGGGCATGGCTTGGGCTTCATGCGTTTATTTAAAGATAAAAAAAATACTTTTATAAATTTATATTTTACCGGCGATTTGAATTTGGTCTAGTTAACTAAAGTAGTGTGCTTCCACTACTGTAATCGAGTTTAAAATTAAGTTAAATACTGTTAGTTTAATCAAGTTAACTAAAGCAGTGTTCTCTCCGTAAAACCTAATGTAAGTAGCAAGCTAGGGTGGGGAGGATTATTGGGAAACTTGGATGGGTTTGGGGGTGGTTTTATATCCTCCACATGGTAGTAGGAGTGGTGGTCCTTTTCATAAACCCCTAATAATGGAGGGAGGGGGATGGAAAGGGACTTTCGTTTATGTTAAAAATAATCCGAAAGAAAAGCTTAATGGAGCTTCCAAGAAGGGAGGTGCCTTAATGCACGCAATGCATGTTAGACTGTTCTGGAAATTTGACATTGTTGAAGCGTGGGCGTACTAACGAGTGTCGCATACACGTCAAACCAATCACATGATTGCATGTTCTCTCAAGCTCTTCACGATTACTCAAGATACAATGAATATATTGCCTACATAAGATTTTGGTCTATGTTGATTTTGTTTAATTTAATTAAAAAGCATAAACAAATTTTGTTTTCCAACGTTGATAGACAACCATTGATTTAATCGGCAACTCACAAATAAGTTTCTCAAAACTCAGTTTCATAGTAAAAAAAAAATTCAGTATAATTTCGAATAAAAAAACCTCTTCACTCAACGGCTTTTCCACCATATATATAATGATAGATGAGAAGAAGCAAAATTATTACCCTAAAAGGGTAGGGCATTTTGAAGTTAGAACGTAACAGGTAGAAGTGTGCACTATAATAATTCACTATTTACATAGTGCTACCCTAATTAACTATATGTATTTGTGAAAATATGATGCCTGGGATTTCACATATATAGGGCCTGAAAAGGAGGATCTGGGCTGCTTGGATTTCCAGTTGAACTACATAAGGCTTCCTGGTGTAGGACTAAAACGTGTTTAAATCAAATAAACACGATGACATGCCAACAGCAACAGAATTAGTGGCAATTAAATCTCATTAATTACGTAAGAAAAGACTAAGGCAACCAAAATCACATTTTATTTCAATCCTCTCCAAAAGATCTTAGGGTTGGTTTGCTATGAAAAACGTTTAGGCTACACCAGCTTGCTGAGTTGTAGGTTGGACCCCTTTGATCTGTACGTTTCTAGTTGGGTGGTTTCAGGCCCAATAAACTTATTAGGACCCAATGGCAGCTTCAAAGACGAGGAATTTTTCTCTTTTTTACAACAATATTTGAGATGGGAGATTTGGATTCTTCATTCATAAAAAGTCAAACTTTTTACTCATAAGTAGAGAATAATATCATTTTTTTTAATTCAAAGCACGATATTCATTTAAGAAAATTGGAGTTTTTACAGTATATGTAGAATATGGTGCAAATTACTGGGCCTCAATAAAAACTTTGGGGATTTCAATCCGGTCAAAGGAAAAAAAAGCATCCTGCACCTAAATTACAAAGATAAATTATCCTCCACAGTGAGATCTATAATAATATCAGAGGTTCTTCAAACCACAATCTTCCTTGATTATTGGAAAGTCCCAACCGTGCTCTAAGAATGCGTCGTTGTGAATAGTAAGTGCTCGGGGATGCTTATTATCAGAGAATGCAAATAGAATAACCTACCCACTTTTACGGATAAAGATTCAAAAGAAAGTCAAGTTATTCCTCCTCTTCCCCAATCACCATCCGAGTAAACTCTTCGGGAGACCAATTTGATGGCAAGCTCACCCCTATTTCCTTCATCTTATCTTGAAAGAAACTCCAACCTAATCATGACAAACCGGGAAGTGTCATAATCTGGTACACCTCTCCTCTATGTTATTCTTTGTGTGCTAGTGGATTGAACTAGAACCTTTTCTTTAAAGAGCTATCCACGAATAAGTCTCGATCTTTCCCATCGAAGATGTATCCTCTGCAGCGAGATTGTTGAGAGCCAAGAGGACCACCGTGGCATCCCCCTCGAGTTCCACTGCTGCGGCATTGACTTCCCGTGCCAACATAACCCCAGCGCGAGCAGCTTCCAACTCCGTGGTGAAATTCCATCAATCTTCTTCACCACCGCAGCCAAAAACTGACCTGTATCATCCCGCACTACCACACAAACTCCTCCTATACTTCACGCTGCTCGTCCCAAGCTCCATCAAAGTTGAACTTCATCCATCCTTGCACTGGTGTCTTCCACCTCACGATACCCGCAGATTTTCTGCCCGAGTTTTCCTTCCCATGCCATCTTTTAAATTCTTGCAGCCATGAAATATTTTTGTAGTGAATATTCTGAGGGTTCTCCGCAAGACCGTGCCAGATAATGTCATTCCTCCCCTTCCAAAACTCCAAATCATAACTAAAAAAAGATCAAAACTCTCCCTTGCCAATGAGGTTAGACGCACTAACCAATCCACCCATCCCAAATTTCCCACTTCATGCACTCGAAAATCCAATGGACTAGAAAACCAAATATTTGCCGATCTTGGACAATCCCTCAAAGCATGTTCTACTGTTTCTATGCCGCCATTACAAAAAGCACAAAAAGCGTCGGTGAGAATCTTCTGTTGTTGTAAACTTGCCCTCGTTGGTAAAGCCTTCGAACAACTTAGCCAGACACAAAGCTTCACCTTCCCAGGAACACACGCCCTCCAAAGGGCTTTCCATAACAATTTGATGTCGCTGCCAATTTCAGACGCTCCAGGACTATTACCATTTCCCACTCCATTCGTACGAGCAATATGGTACGCACTTTTCGTAGTGAACTTCCCATTTGGTTCTGCATTCCACATAATTATATCCGGTGGTTTCAACAAACTAAATGGTATGCTCCTAACCAACCTTGCCTCCTCCTCCCAAAATAGGGCAGTGATCAGCTCCTCATTCCACAAAGTTCCATCTTCCAAAATTAGGTTAGTGACCTTAAGGGAAGCATCCATACCAGCTGGAATTGGGCTGATAACCTTGAAAAAAATTTGTCTTGGCAGCCAATTATCTCCCCAAACATTGATACTCCTCCCATCACCCACACGCCACCTCGCATCCAACTGAATTACACGTGCTTCAGCAATACTCCTCCAAATATAGGAAGCATTCGACTTTACTGGAGCATGCATAAAGCCAACCTGAGAAAAGTACCGAGCCCTGAAAATCTGAGCAACTAGGGACTCGGGATGTTGTAGTATGCACCATCCCGCTCTGCCAACAATGCCAAGTTGAACGTGTACAAATCCTTGAACCCCAAACCTCCTTCACTTTAAGGTTTGCACATTTTCCTCCGACTAACCCAATATATTTTCCGTAGCCCTTGATTTCTCCCCCACCAAAATTGTGCCACCATTTGCCTCAACTCATCACACAACGTCTTCGGTATCAGTAAAGTTTGCATAAATTAGACTGGTATTTATGAAAGTTAGTATAAATTAACATATATAAACTACATATAAAATTAATTAACTTATTGAAGGAAAATTGTGTTTAAAGTTTCAGAGAGACTGGTATTAATGAAAGTTAGAAGACCATTAATCGCATCAATATTGTCCCCACTTAATCGCTCGTGCAATCAATAAGTGGAATTTTTATGCAAAAGGACTTGATGCGATTAAAAGTGGAACTATTGATATAAGTTGTGATCTATTTTGTGAAATGTATGATGTGAGACTTTTTATTCAACATGTCCCCTTATGTGGAACCACTTTCGAGTATACCACTCGTGGAGTAAATTACGTGGTAACAAATTTCTACCGTATTTAGTATTGACGAAATTGTACCTACAAAACAAATAAATACCTTTGTTCAAGGCCAAAGCCTCATGCACCCACAAGGTAGGGGGTGTTTGGCCAATGGATCTCTGATGTCTAAGTTAATTTCTTTGAAAAGAGAGAGAGTTTAGGGCTTAAGTACGTAGCAAAAGCTTACTAGAAATTGATGGAGATAAGGCATTTATAGGGAGGTGGCTGGAGCTAATTATAAGAGAATACGGGACTACAACGGTGACTGAAGCCAGATCATGGGATGAATATAATATAACGGTATTTGAAGTGCTTGCTTTAAGAGATGCACTCAAGTTTCCAAAACAAAAAGGTTTCTCAAGAATTTCCGTGGAAGGAGATTCTAAGTTAATTATTGATGCTATGGAGTGCAGGTATGGTGTCCCTTGGAGAATTCAAGACCGTTGAAGACATCCGTTGGTTAGCTTCCTCCTTTCATTGTGTGACTTGGAAACATATATATCCTGAAGCAAACTTCGTGGTTAATGCTATAAATAATGTGGGTTTATCTCTCTCCAATATGTATATTTGAGATAGGACCCTTCCATTACGAGTTTTTACTGCTTTCATGTTTGATTGTAATAGTATTGGTTGTTCAGGGTTTCTTTAATTGATTTCCTTTTCCAGTAAAAAAACTACAAGATCGTAGGAACCCTAATTACAAAAGTCAAGTAAGCCCACATGTGTTGGGCTCGCGTTAACAAATTCTGATGGATTCATATAAGAGTGTTGTTTTCTGTTTTACACAATCTAAATTAGAAAGTCCAAAAGTTAAGCATGCTCAGATTTGAGTATGCAATTACCTTTTTTTATGTTTTCCAATTCAATTTGCTCTTAAAATTCTCCTTGATATTTTTCTCATTTTCTTAAAATCTTAGCCACCCAATTTCTGAAGGATATTCCTTCCATCTTTATTCAGTTGTTTGCGGACATGGTTGTCAGATAAGGACCTTTTGTTCGTTTTGAATTTTGTTTGTGTGGATTTGGTCCAGTGTGAAAGTTTTGCCATTTTGAGTTTCTTGTTTTTATTTGAACTTGATGTGATTCTGCCTTGTAAACCACTTTGATGCAACATTGACAACTTTTTAGTTTTTTTTTTTTGGAAAATATATACCAAGTTCATGAATCGTAACGGACGTTGAAATTCCAATTTTTTTCGAAACCGAACTAAAAGAAAATAGCCGAACTAGAGCTGGAATCCCCTAATACTGACCCAATCAGTCTGAAAATTAGGTCAAATGCACCGTTCTAATGATCTTGTGAAAGAGAAGAAAGAAAGAAAGGCATGGATCGATACATGTCACCTGTCATGATTTCAAATAGTCGGACTTGGCCGCAAATAACTGTGAACAAGTTATTTACGAAAAGTGAAGATGAACTTGGCAATGCAGAATTTACTTAATTGTCAAATCTATAGTATTCTGCCATAAAATTCAACACCCATGGAGAATTGAGATAGACTTTATGTATAGTTTGTGCTTCATACATGTGTCTCCACCTAAATTCACATTACCAAATGTTAGAAAATAAAATTTCAGTCTAATATTCTAAACGATACGTCCTGAATTTAATTTATGATGTTAGTAAATCACATGATAGTGGTTAGAAGGAAGCTAAACTACCTTGTAAGTTTTTCCAGCTCCAAAATTAGTACAAAATTTAGTTCACATGTGACCTAATTCTCACATGGCTTAAAAAAAAAAAAAAACAAAAACAAAAAAACTAACTAATGAAAATTTCTTGAAAATTTTGAGTTTTAACCAAAATGACAAAAAGGTGTTATAAGTGAATAGTACCAAGAATGATTTTTTAGAGTAAAAATATCCTTAACATTAAAAGTAAACAGTGTTAGAAGTGTTTCGTTTAGACAAAAAAAAAAAATTGGTTCTTTTTATGTTGTTTTCAAGGCAGCCGCCACATATGGCCGTTGGAGGACTTTTCTCTTTCATTTGAATTGAGTGTATCAGTGTTTATATTGCTTTTTTTCTTTATGCATCGTTATCTAATTAGATTAATGAAAATTCTTACATGGTTACTGTAATTTGCGGGTTGTTCCACAAAACTTGATCATTTTCTAAAACAAGCTGCTCTGAAAAAAAAACCATTTGCTTTGCTCTCTTTGTTTAAAAGGGAGAAAGTTAAGGTTTCACAATAAAATTAATAGGTAATATGAGGAGTAGCACAACTTCTTATAAGCTCTTGTATGGTCTTGTCCCTCACTGATGTGCAACTTTGTCATCACATTCTCACATGCTCCTTCACGTATGGTGGATTTTCAAGCTTAACACATGAACAACACAAATTGGATGATATGGAGCATGGGTGGTCATTTGGCCCATTGAATGTCGTGGGGAACATGTGTGGCCGTTAGGCTTTACACGTAGGTCGACCTGCTTTGATAGCATAAAGAAAGTTCAGCTCTATATTGCTCAACTCCTTATAAGCTTTTGCATGGCCTAATCTTTCACCGATATGGGACTTTATCTTCACATTCTCACAGTTATATTAAATAGGAAAAACGATTAATAATGTTTTCTTGGTGTAAAAAAAAAAAAATGATTCATTTTTGCATTTAAGTAATCAAACAGAAACAAAAACGTCAAGCATGAGTTTTATCTAGCCAACAACTTATGCAGAAGTTCAAAGATTTTCTATACAAGTTCCACTAATTACTTATTTTTTCGGTTACAAAATGTAATTAATTAATATATTATATACCAAAAGATTATATAGAGAGGCAAGTTGTAGAATGGTTAGATCTATGGACATGGTACTGTCTATTTCAATGTGATTTGAGAGTTTAATTTTTTCACATATTCTCAGTGTAACATGATATTTAGTCGATATTTTAATCCTTGTAATCTTGCATTTTTAGTGAGCTCGACTTTCAACAAAGTGTTTAAAATATTTTTATGGTTTTGCAGTTAATTATATTGTATTGCAATATTTTTAAACCTAGTGTGAATAGTCTATAAATATGTCTATATAAGGGCCTTTATTCAATAAATGAAAATACCATACTTTTTTTTTATAAAATGATCCAATCTTCAATGGAAAATATCATTGATTAAACAATAATGAATGAATTCGTAACAAGGCACCAATAAGAAGTGGTCAAAAAAGTGATATTTTATTTATTCATTATATATATATATATAGATAAATCAACCATAATTAGATATCGAACTCTGTGTTTTATAGTAATTGATTTTAGAACTCAAACACCCAAACGTTTGTCATTGCACATACTGATCAAATGTTAAAAGTTAAAATTCAAGTTCGGAGAAAGCAATGGTGTCAAAACTTTGGCTTGTTGGTAAACTGAAAAAACGTATTTAGCTAGAGGTTTCATTGATAAATATTCCTTGGCCCCTTGGGGCCCTGATAATCATTATCAAATTGAAGTTGGGTAGAAGCAGATAACAGCAAAAGTCAATCAAGGAAGCTACGTGGAACCACCTCAATTCTCTACTGCTAACAAATCACCATCCCTCCACACGCTGATAGTCTCTCAAACAGAGAATTCCCGCGCACACAAAACTTACCACTTCCACCTTCTAAAGCAACCGCGTTGTGTTGCCACCTCCCCACGCGGCCTCGCCGCATTCCTCCCTTATATATACCCACACCACGCTTCACCGTCTCATCTCTCATTCTTCCCAGCTACACCCATTTCACTACTTTCTATTCCCTACAAATTGTTTGCTGTTCCTCCGACGTCCTCCGCTATGTCAGAGAAACAAGCCCATTTGAACGGGGCCTACTACGGCCCCTCAATCCCTCCCAAATCCCAGTCCTACCACCGCCCTGGCCGCGGCGGCAGCGGATGCCTCAGCTGCTGCTGCAGCTGCATCTTCGGCCTTGTTTTCAAGCTCATCATGACCGCCGTCGTCATCCTGGGCTTGGCGTTTTTCATCTTTTGGCTCATCGTCCGCCCTAACCGTGTCAAGTTCCACGTCACGGACGCCACTCTCACGCAGTTCAACTTCTCCAACGACAACACCCTCAACTACGACCTCGCCCTCAACCTCACCATCCGAAACCCTAACAAGAAGATCGGTATTTACTACGATCGCCTCGAGACCCGGGCCTTTTACGAGGATCAAAGGTTCAGCACGGTTACCTTGACGCCCTTTTACCAAGGGCATAAGAAAACGAACGTGTTGAACCCCGTGTTCCAAGGCCAGCAAGTGTTTGTAGACTCGAAGGCGCTTTCAGAGTACAATCAGCAGAAGAGTACTGGGATTTACGAGATCGATTTGAAGATTTATCTTCGGATTCGGTTCAAACTCGGATTGATCAAGACTGGCAAGTTCAAGCCCAAGATTAAATGCGACTTGAAGGTTCCCTTGACTCAGAACGGAAATTCAGTCGGCACTTTCCAGACTACAAAGTGTAAAGTTGATTACTTCTAATCAATCTTCACAGCCTACGATTGATCGATCGATCTGTCGATCGATCGAGTTCATATATCTTGTTGTTCATTCAGTTTTCGGTTTTTTTTTTTTTTTTTTTAAATTTTTGCTACTATTCTTTTGTTTTTTTGTTTTTGGCATTATTATTACGTTACTAGGTAGCTCTCATATATACAGAGATGATTATATGATTACTTTTGATACCTACTTTGGTTACGCATGTTCATAAATAAAGATGGATTATTTTTAGCGGTTAGACTTTTGCTTTCCGTGATGCATGGTTTTGAAATTGATGTTTTAGTTATACTTGTTCAACGTTCATGTTCATAAATAAATATTGATGGATTATTTTTAGTTGTTAGACTTTTGCTTTCCGTGATGGTTATCAAATTGATGTTTTAGTTACACTTGTTCAACGTTTCATTTCTTTCGAAAACGATAATCCGCCGCTAAAATCTCATGTCATTTCTAATTCTTAACGGTTGAATATTGTCCTTTGGAATAAAACTTAAAATAATAAATGACTTGCGAACACATGCAATCTAATTAGAATTGTGAACCGTTGATTGGTGAGTTATATACTATGTAATGTTCACTTCAATCAACAGATATCAATACTTACCATCACGATGGATAAACTTACTTATTCTGATTTCAATGTTTTTAAAGAAACTCTCTTAATGTGAATAGTTACACGAACAGAGAGATAACAGAAACACACTAAAATGGATATATAGGGAAGTATTTTCTTGAGCATTGGCGACTCATGTTAGCTGTCTCGTCTCTTCGGCCACTTATTCTATGTCACATGGGCTAATTTTGCCGAAAGAGGAGACAGCACATTGTAAGTCGAAGTCGAATATAGCAGTACTCCTTGCTGCTTGTACAAAATGAAATAGTTGATTCGGTCAGAACTTAATCAAAGATTGAATGTTAAAAAATTATAACTTTCTAGAGCAGTGTATTTCATCCTATGTATTTAAATTCGAGTCTTTATCTTTATAGTTTATATTAATTTAGTGTAAAATATCATATGTATCGAAAAAGATAATCTTTCTAAAACTTTTGAGAACTCTTACCGACTGCAGATTTGACTTAACTTACTTATAAACTATAATTGCCTTCATGTTTTCATATTAATTAAAAACAGCTTGGTAGACATAGTTTGGTGGCTAGCTTTCGTTATTTCAATGGAACAGGGGGGAAGAATTCGTGAATGCTTATTCATTAAGGTAATACATGCTTATTTTATATATATATATATATATATATATATATATATATATATATTCAATCCTAATCACAATTAATTTTTTTTTATTTTATAAAAATGCCCTTTATTTGTTGTGTCACTCCTTCAACGAAAATTACATATAATGTGAAAAGACGCTTAAAATCTTACCTCCTCATTGAATATTGAGGAACAAATTTCTGCTGATACCACGTTCATATTGGTCAATTTGGTAATTTGCCTCTCTGTTAGGTTGATATGCATATTTGCTATAGTATATTTACCTTATTTTAAGTTTTAATATTATTGCCTAAACAAAAAATTAATCAGCAAATGGGAACATAGAGAAACTACTGAGAAAGGGTCAAAATTCAGCGGCCGGAAATCATAACAAAGAGACAAAAGAAAAATTAAGCCTTGATTTTATAGTCTGTACCATTATTGTTCAAGTATTGATATTCACACACTCATTTTTATTTTTTACATATTTTTTTAATTTTCAGCCGTTATATCAAATGAATTGAAGAAGAACAATGACTAAATATTAACAAGAGTATGTGAGAAGTAAAAATGAGTGTGAATAGCATTATCCTTATTATTCTAGAGAATTGTTATTGGCATTTCAAAAATCTCATTGTGCACCCTAAACTTTCTATTGTTAGAAATAAAAATACATTTGGGCGGAATGTAAAATGAGATTTTTAGAGTGCTAATAACAGTTCCCTTATTCTATTCCCATAAACAATTGATCCCCCACAAAAAAAATTCATTCCCTTACTTGTCAGTACTTTTAATCTTGACATGGTATCGTCTTTTTTTTTTTTTTTTAACAAATGATATTATCTACCTAACATTACTTAGTCTACAAATTTGATTTCCCTAACATTACTCTTATCTAAGCTAAGGGGGAGAGGGATGTGCTACCAATAATGTGATTAAAATTCACCTTTAGCGAGAATTGAACCTAAAACCTCTCATTATACGTGAAAATGAATACCATTTGACGGTCATATTAAGTGACGACATAATATCGTAGTTTGTTTTACTGCGGCCGAATACTCGGTCGACACAACATTGGTGTTTCACTCATAATTACATTGAGCCCCTTAGGATAAAATCACCCCTGCTTTTGACCCGCTTATCTGAAGAGTTTTAATGAAAATAACCTCGCAATATAATTTCACTTGATCAATATTTATTTAATCACATGGGATATTCTAATGAAGGCTGCCGCTGATTCACTATGTTTATACGGTTGCGAGAAGTTGATCGAATATTACAATTTGTTCTTATAATTAAAAAAACAAATTATTACGCGTTTTGGATTAAAATAAAAAGTTTGTAAGATCCTTTTCGTTAGTTTTCTATTGTACACATGTCTTGTTCCTTAAAGAAATATAGTATCTTCTTTTAACAAATGATAGTATACTACACTAAACTACATGGAAGGAAATCGAAACAGAACCTTGAACGCAATACAACTTCTCTTAATCAACTGGGCTACAAATCACTTGAAGAGAAATATAATACAAGTGAAATATAATACCTGATTACCTAAATGTTTTTCCAAATTCTAGTGAGTGGGTTGTGAGATAGCATTAAGTTGTTAAAAAATTTGAGAATAACCCATCAAAATTTGGGTTATTTTTCTTCTTTTGAATTTCTTTTTATCAAAACCACAGAACTAATTTGGTTAAAGCTGCATGTAAAGGTTCTTTCTTTTTGTTCGTTATATTCATTGGTTTAGCACCCAAACCCAACGCTGAGGCCCAAAGCCCTGGTATAACCTTTGACATTAAGAGGCTCTTTAAAATCTTTTAACCAAATATTATACAGCTCTTTCACTAAAATATAAATTGATAATTAGTAGTATTTTAATAGTTCGTGATCATTATAAATTCACCAGTTTAATCTTTCGTTAAGCAAGAATACAAGTGTGTGATCCTATCATTAGGGGAGCAAACTGAAGTTCGTTCTCTAATTTAGTGTTTTGTCTTTGTGCTAGATTAGCCCAACCTTGGACGCTCTTATAGCGCGTTTACTAATCTATAATCAAATTGAGAAGAATTGAATTGAGGATGAATTGGATTGAGGAGGAATTAAAATGACATTCTGAGCACTTGAGTGTTTCATATTAAAAAACTCAACTGGTGTCGTAGGACGATAACCATCTCTCCACTCATTCAGATGATAACGGGTTCGTCTATAAGGTGCAAGAAAACCTTTTCCGTTTGTGTAGCCACCATCAACTAAATAGTAACAACCTATTGTTGACAAAGAATTAAATTGTCAAGCTTACAACTTTATATCACTTGCAATTCAAAAGCTAAGAATTTTAATTACTAAAAAAAGTAGTGAGTGTCACCATTAGGTATTTTCAATCCATTTCTCCTAGTCACAGCATCTCTAAGAACTCGACCATCATGTACAAACTCTTCCCATCCTGGTAAAACATATATAAACAGCATGTCTGGAGTGCAAACTCCCAAAACATTCATTGCTATTTCATTTTTCCTTGTTCTGTACTTTGGTTTATCACATTCTGGTACATGCACCTTAACAAGTGTTCCATCTAGTGCACCTAAGCAATTCCACAGTATATAGGACACTAAATTAACAAACTAAACTATGAAATAAAAAGCTAGTAATTACTGAGTAGTGTAGGCATGTAGATACTACATACCTTAAACCAGTTCCACTTTGTGTCGATTGAGTTCTCAGGGATAGGCTCAAGTGTTTGCCAGAAATCCTTTTGGCATCGAATCATTGCTTTAATACACTCATGGAAATACTTACTAATTGTTCAACCAAACCTTCTAAAGTGGTGGTTAATTGTGCGATTGGTGTGCAAGAATGTATTGAAAAAAATGCAACCATCTCCTCTATAGACACATTTCGAGTAGCTCGTAGTTGTCCTCTAGTCACAAGAACTTGACATAATCTATGAAAGGATCGTCTATCCATTTGTAGTTCAACAATACATGTCACATCACTCTCATAAATTAAACCATGTAAGTATTCTAATTGCTTGTAAACTCTTATAACTGTTTGACAAGGTGAGGGACTTCTAAGGCACTTTTGGAAACGATACCAAGAATAGAAACAAGAAGTAGCACATGCAACAAATATAGTTCGAAGATAGACAATCAACACATTCAACACAGCATGTAATTTCTTCTTTGTGGACAAACTTAGATGAGCCATTAGTCTACACAAAATAATGAAGAAAAAAAATTTCATGGAGGACTTCAATGAACAAGTTAATAAACATATCTGCAAACTGAAATAAATTAACATTACAGAACACAATCAGTCACAAAAATTTACTTACTGGTTATCTTATTTCCCTTCGACTAATAGGTTATTTGCTAATACTAAGATTGAGGACTTTCTCCACATGAACTTGGTAAATTAAAACAATCCTCTAACTTTTCTCCCCGTTGTTGATAGAGTGATAACATAATTTACACAACACAAATTGTAGTTCAAAGTTCCTTTGCAATAGCTTCAGGTGTTTAATATCCATTTTGTTGTCACATATACCAGGGAATGGAAGTTGACCTGAATACGCAATGAGCCCCTAATAGAAGCAATGTGAATAGCTAAAAAATCTCACACTTTTGAGCACACCCAAATCGAAATCTAAAAGAACCCCATTTAAGGAATCCATCATTTTTCTCCCAATCTTTGCAAATATCATCGCATTCAGCTAACCAAATCCCTAAAAGCAGACCAGCAGTTTCCCATAAACGCCAGAAACTCAAAACTATTAAAAAAATCTTTCTGCAAGAACATTACTTTGGCAAACTTTGTCTTCTACAATTGAGCAAACCAGCTAATTATTCCTCCCATTTCAAATTTAATGGGAAAACAAAATACAACCCACTACAGAACAAGCAATGCAAATCTGAGATTCAAGCGCAAAACACTGAAAAACCATTCCAAAAGTACAGAAAGAGAGAGAGAGAGAGAGAGAGAGAGAGAGAGAGAGAGAATAGAGCAGCTAGAAGAAGCATACGTGATGCACAAGCAAGAAATCTGAGCAAAACCCAACTCACAGTCTGAGCTCTGCTTCCTCCAGTCCTCCTCCACTCCCCTCTTCTGGAAAAAAAAATAAAAAATGATTCTTTGATTCCTCAGACCGTAAGCTCAAAGGAAAACAAACAAAAACTCCTCTTTCACTCTCTCAGTTTTTCACTCTTTCACTCTCTCTCTCTCTCCCTCCCCCCCCCCCCCCCCCCAAAAATTCACTCTCAAGTTTTTCGCACACCAAAAAATAAAAAGAGAAGAAAATTGGGAAAAAAATTGCACGAAATCCTGACGAAATCCTGGAAAGAAAATCCATCGCGGAGAAGAAAGAAACGAGCAGCGAAACGCTGATATTCATCGAGCTCTATGAGCACAGAGATAAAAACGCAGAAGAAGTAGAATTTACCTATCCGTAATTGTGACGAGAGTCGCGGTTGAGAGAGGACAGGCGCCTGCGGCTGAGAGAAGATGGAAATGAGCTGGGTGAAAAGAAAAATAAGTCTAGGTTAAAAGGATAATCTTGGAAATAATGAAAATAAGTGAGGGCATAAAAGAAAAATAATTATCATTCTAATTGCTTGGGCAATTTCGGAATCAAAATAACTTGTATATGTTGGAAATCCAAATCCTTCAATTTCAGGAATTTGATTCCATTTTTTGTGTGGACCTCACGCATTTTTTACTCCTCCCAATTTTAGTAAATACAGGTATAATCCGTAATCAGAATTGGATTTCTTATTCTCATTCCGATTACGGGTTAATAAACACGCTATTAAGGTTCTTCTTCCCGTTAACGCATGAAGTTATTTATTTTAAATCTTAAGTATTTTTGCAACAAAATAATTTGTTGCCTTCGACAAATTCTTTTGTCCAAACCTATTATAGAAGTGAACTCTTTTTAAAACAATAGTTCAATTCGTCCACGATTATTTTATTTATCGCGAACTATTTCGTCAAGTTCTAATGTGATGAAATAATTTAGTCTCTTAGGTTATTTATAATAGCCAATTGAGTTGTCGCGACAGGTGTTATCTAACGACAAAATTTAAATTGTTTCTAATATCCTCCACCGATGGGATTTTTGCGAAAAAAACTCCAACCAAAAACTTTCGTAGCGCACATTTACCAACATGTACTTTTGTCGCCTCATAGCATCTCCAAAAGAGATGTCAAAATGTCAGTAAAAACGGTAACAAAAAACAGCATTAATTTTTTTCAACCGAGAAGCCAAATCTGATGTGGTATGACATGGATTGACATCTCTCCCCCTTACTGCTAAATTTGAAAGCACATTCAGATTTGTTTAATTAATTATTAAATACTTTTTATTAATTTTTTATTGTTTAAACCATTATTCTTTTGTTTCTTTTCATTCCCAATGCAAAGAGAATACATATGAATTATTATTTTATATTTAAAATTTGACATATCGGTTGGAGATCAATAGTTTAAAATATACCAAAGTACTACTTAAGCTTTCAAATTTAAATTTTAAATTTTAAATTTGACATCTCTTTGCATTTTTTTAGGGATCAGGATCCTCTCCTGATCTAAGGATGAGGATCCTCATGACCAAGGCGTGTGAGCTGTTGGATAAAAATTCAATGGCTATGGCTATAATTATTATAACTTTAAAGGGACCTCCTGTTTGTAGCCATTGGATTTTCATCCAACGGCACACACTCCTTGGTCATGAGGATCCTCATACAAGGATCAGGAGAGGATCCTGATCCTTTTTTTAGTGGTCCAACCTTTCTTCCATTTAATCTCCACCATCCTTCAATTCCCCAACAGACAACACAACAGAGTCACATAATGTGTAGCTGTACAGCCCCAGACCGACTCTCATCCCTCCAATTGAGAGAGTTTCTCGATTTCTCTTTCCCTAACTGACTCCCTTTCCTCTTAACTTTCATCCATATCAGTCTGGTCGTCATTGCTTTGTCGCCGTTTCTGTCTTTTCTTCGTCGATTGAGTTTCATCCCCGTGTCCGTCGATCGAGGTCCTTCCCACCCACATGACCATCTCTGTCGATCCTAGTTTGCTTTTTTGTAGTTTGAGATCCTTCAAGATAACCTCTAATGAGATCTATCGAGTTTTACTTGATTTGGGTTTTTTTGCATGTGGTTCTAGTCAGGAATTAAATGGATACAAATTCTACATGTGGGATTTTCTGCATCTTGGTTCTAGTTAGGATTTTGTGTAGTAAAGAAATAGAACAGAAACACAAGCTTTACTCAATACTCACACACTGCCTTCAAAAATTTGCATTAGGTTTTTCAGATTGGAATTGGATCAGGAAATGGACCCGTTGGGACCGACCCATTTGGCCCGTTTCAAATGGGCCGAGTTAAATTCGATTCCATTTTCGAAAATGTGATGACCCGTCCCGTCCCGTCTTGTTTCACTTCCAAACGGATAGGGTCTAGTTTCACTATATTTGGGCTGACCCGGCCGTGCCCACCCCTATATTTGATATTGTCCCGTCCTGTTTCACTTCTAAAACAGATAGGGTCCAGTTTCACTACATTTGGGCCGACTCGGCCGTGCCCACCCCTAGTTTTGATATTGTTGATGCAAAGAAAAACCAATGAGATAAGATTGTAAAATCATATAAAGACAAAAATGCAAAAGATATATCGCAGTAAATCCACACTAAATAGATTTCCCATTTTTACTTTACTAATCACGTTGATTATATTTACATTGTACGAGAGGGATGTAAGAGGGAGATTGAGAGGAATATTTGGAAAAAATATATATATTTGCCGATTAATCCTATAAACTTGTACTGCGTAATTTTCCTCCTGAATATTTGCCGATTAATCACTCTCTTGAATTATTATAATTATTCAATCTCTTCATTTCATTAAGTTTTTAAATTTTCCATCCAACATTTTATTATCTTTACCGGGTGTTGTCCATGTAGGAAATTTACAAAGGGTAAAAAAGTCAATTTGCAAAAAAACTAACCCCAACTAATTTTGCTTTCCCTTCCCTTCCCTTCCATCCCCTAAATTCCTAACCTAGCAAAACAGAGTTTGGCTATTGAAAAATTAATAGAAATTCCTACTAAAATGCTAATGTGACTAGTCGGCGGTTTGGCCCACTTTCAATTATTTTCTCTTTTCTACAGAATTAATAAGTTTGAAAAGTACCTCTCAAAAAGACTAGAATCTCTCACTTACTAATCTTCTCCATTTCTTAATTGCTCTCTTAAACTTTTATAATTATTCAATTTCTCCATTTCGTTAAGTTTTCAAAATTTTCATCCAACATTTCATTATCTTTACCTTGTGTTGTCCATGTAGAAAATTTACAAAGGGAAAAAAAAGTCAATTTACAAAAAAACTACCCCCAACTAATTTTGCTTCCCTTCCCTTCCCTTCCCTCCCCTAAATTCCTAACCCAACAAAACAAAGCTTGGCTACTAAAAAACTAGCGGAAATTCCTACTAAAATGCTAATGTGACTGGTCGTTGGTTTGGCCCATTTTCAATCTTTTTCTCTTTTATACAAAATTAATAAGTTTGAAAAGTACCCCGCTAAAAGACTAGAATTCCCTCACTCGTTTTCTCCATTCCATGATTACTCTTCATAACTTTTATAATTATTCAATTTCTCCCTTTTGTTAAGGTTTCAAATTTTCCATCTAACATTTCATTATCTTTACCGCGTGTTGTCCATGAAGGAAGTTTACAAAGGGAAAAAAAAAGTCAATTTGCAAAAAAACTACCCCCAACTAGGTTTGCTTTCTCTTCCCTTCCCTCCCCTAAATTCCTAACCCAGCAGAACAAAGCTTGGCTACTGAAAAATTAGTGGAAATTCCTACTAAAATGCTAATGTGACTGATTGTTGGTTTGGCCATTTTTTAATCCTTTTCTTTTTTTTTACAGAATTAATAAGTTTGAAAAGTACCCGTCTAAACTATTAGAATTGCCTCACTTACTAGTCTTCTTCATTCCTTGATTACTCTCTTGAACTTTTATAATTATTCAATTTCTCCATTTCGTTAAGTTTTCAAATTTTCCATCCAACATTTCATTGTCTTTACAGTGTGTTGTCCATGTAGGAAATTTACAAAGGGTAAAAAGGTCAATTTGCAATAAAACTACCCCCAACTAATTTTGGTTTCCCTCCCTTCCCACCCATCTGCTCCAAATTTGCCCTAAATTCTTAATCCAACAGAACAAAGCTTGGCTACTGAAAAATTAGTGAAAATTCCTACTAAAAGCTAATGTGACTGGTCGTTTTCAATCCTTTTCTCTTTTTTACAGAATTAATAAGTTTGAAAAGTATCCCTCTAAATGACTAGAATTCTCACTTACTAGTCTTCTCCATTCCTTGCTTACTCTAGAAAAAGTACTCACTCGTTGCCTTTTCTAGCAAAGCCATCATCTATTTTTTCAAGGAAAGTCATCATGCTTTTTAAGTTATATTTTTATGTTATCTCCGTGTGCCATTTTTGTATTACAACATAAAAAGATGAAATAATAATACATAAGAGTACTTTCACCATTGATTTTCCGTTTCCAATGATATGCGAAGACAACTATAAGTACTCGTGAGCATAATTTGGCCTAGTGTAGGGCAATTGGATGTTTTAGCCCTTTGTATGTTTAATATGTGGACAACACGTGACAAAATAACTAAATGTTAGATGAAAAATATAAAACTTAACAAATGAAATAAATTGACTAGTTATAAAACTTACAAGTTTAAGGAGTAAATCCATGAATACCTTTGCCTAAAATGAGGGAGGGGGAGCTCTTTATAGGACAAGGTCTCGTCCTCCCCCTTTACACATTTCATCTGCTAACAAAGAAAAAAAAAAAAAAGAATTATATGCTTCATGTCTACAAAGTTACCAATGACGTTCTTCAACCTACAAGTCCCTCGGAAGAAATTCAAAGAAAGTTCAAATATATTCATACGCAAAGCATCTGTAGTATTAAGGACATCCATATTACAGTAGAAAAGAAACTAATTACGGAAAATAAAAGTAAAGAAATACATGCACTCAGTACGACATACAGATTGTCGAGCAGAAATACTCATATACTATAGGGCAGACGTAATAAAACTGGTAGAGCTCTGAACCCTAATCGGTTCTTCATCCGCATTCAACATGGCATCTAGTTCCTTCACAAATATCTCCATCGCCGCGGCCGGCAAACAAATCGGAACCACAATCCCATCTTCCCCTCTGTTGTCTCTAAACGGTATGTAAAAGCTAGCCACTCCAGGTATTGCCCCGACCCCGCCCTTCGCTGGCCCACCATAAGCCGCTTTCCCCCACCCAAAATCCACTTCTCCGAACCCAGCACGTGTCACATCCGACACAAGGTAAGAATTCACCACCGTGAAGTGGGGCCTACCCTTAATAACCATGAGGTCAGCCAACGACCTCATGTATTCCTCCGTCACGTCCGCCTTGGCCTTCCTCACCAGCTCCAACGCGTACCCCAATGGGTTGTTGCATAGCCTCCCTGCCGTCGTCACCGCCACCGGGAACGCAAAAGCGTTGCCGTAATAACCCACCGGCAACGGGGGGTTGAACTTGGACCGCGAGTTCACAATGCACAACACACGCACCTCCTCATTTGGGTCTTTCTGGAGTGCGATGGTACGGCAGCGCCAGAGGCAGGCCGTGAGGACCTCGAACGTGGAGCACTTACTGAGGAACTGCGGGACAAACCTTCGGATGGCGGACACCTCGGTGGGGCGGAAGAAAAAGGACCGGTGGACCATGTCATCAAGTGGAATTATGGTGCCCTTGGTGTCTTCCACTTCTTCGTATTCGCGGTGCGTGCATGTCACACGGGGTGGGTAACGCGCATTGAGCAGCGCCCTCTGCCACACCGGCTGGACGGTCGGAGAAACTGCGCCACGAGCTATCTCTCCCAAGGCCGTCATGAATTGGACGAGCCCCGCCGCGTCGCTCATGGTGTGGTTAAGACGGAGGGCGACGATGAAACCACCGCACTGGAGCCGCGTCACCTGTTTATGAATTACGATAAATACTGGTTAGTTGAAGGCTACGTTACAACAAACTACTCTACAAACAGGACAACAATTGTCCTGAGTTTCCTTAACTTTATCTACTATCATGAAAAAGACAATAATATGTAGTCTGCTCCAAAATAATAGCTGATATAAAAAGAAAAAAACAAAAATGACTGATGTGTACACATGTGATAAATATTGACGCCAACTGTCTGTATTTAATTTTTCATCGATGACAACTTAGACATTATTTTAGGATTTGAATTTCATCTAGATTGAAATGATAGACATTTTAGAGATTTTTACATCTTAATCATTCATTATGTATCGTGCATTCAGAAATTATTTAACTTTTTTTATTTAAAATTAAATACAAATAGTATATCACGAAAATTAATTATACGATATACGATGAACAGTTAAGATGTGAAGATCCTTAAGATCTTCACAAATAAATCCGAACAAGATCCTCTTTCAGTATTTTAAGTACCATATGTTTTTGTCCGACATTTTTAAAGTTACAAACCTATGTAATCATATAAAATAGTTCAAATTTTATGTTTTAAGCAAAATTATTGCGTATAAAATATAATTATACCTACCTAGTCAAGATACTCTTTTGGGGCTTACATTCAAGATGTTATATACTCTTTTGGACCATCTAGTTTACTGTTAGTACCTAAACCATTGTTGAAACAATCATGCATGTGATGGACCACACACGTGAAATTTCTCCATAGATTTTTATCGTGAATGATAGATTGCAATTTTGAAACTTTCTCAAAAAACCATCATGATCTTTTAATCATGGATGCATGACAGATGACAAGTTTGAAAATAAGAGAGAGATGGATGCCTAAATATTATTTCACTACCACTACTACGAAGAGCAATATAGATACTTAAAATATAATTATATAACATTATTGCTTCGTTTGGTTGGTTGAATGAGATTTGACATTAGAGATATGATTAAATTGACATAGATTTATAAGACATAACCTGTAACTCATGTATAGAAATAGGTTAGATAACCCACTCTATTGTGGATTTATAACCCATCATGTCTAGTCCTGTGTATCTCACATTTTGACACAACAAACAACGGACTAGACTCAATTCTATTTTAATTGATCACAATCTATCTCATCCACCCTACCACAAGAGGCCTATATTTACACGAAAAGATTGATGAAATTTGGTGTAACTTACACTATGAACAAATCACAATAAATTAGTATCAAATTTGAAATTCAAGTAGGTTCTATTTAAGAACATTCACTTATAAAAAAAAGAATTATTATTAGCACTCTAAAATTCTCATTTTGCATTCCAAACTTTCTATATTTAAAAAGTTAAAATACATTTGTGAACAGTGTAAAATGAAAATTTTGAAATATCAATAACAATTCTCTAAAAAAATTACTAAATTATAGTACCAAGTTACGTTAACCAACATTTATTAAGCGATTCTAGTTACATGTACTAGTTTTTTTCCATATATCTTGGCACTTCTAATTTTTTAATTTTTATATTATTACTGTCAGGGTAATCAACTTGTTGGCCAGAAGACAATTAAGTTGATATTTTATCATTTTTATGAAGCCACGTGTATCGTACGTCTATTGTTTTTGGATAAGAAGACATTTACTAAATAACGTACTTGCAGTGCCAGAAGACAATTAGTACAGAGTGAGAAATGTTAATGATGAAATTTTGAGTCCTTACTTTCTATAAAGTACATACGTAATCGTACCTGAATTAGCAAGAGTGGGCAATTAAGAACCCCATCGGAACCAGGAACATTATAAAGAAGCTCCTCCAAGCAAGGGAACGGTGGCTGAAGGGCGTCACCGAATTGCTCTAGGGTAACGTCGGCATCAGCCTCAATGAACATGACACCCTCAGCCGTGCATTCCACCGTGAGCTTCCGGTCAGGTCCCTCCCTGAGCCTACCGGCGAAAGGGTAGTAAAACACTAAGGTTTGTGCAATTGCCTCTCTAAGGACATGCACAGGATCCCTTCCTTGCATGGAGGGATCGTATTTATAAAACTGTATCACGGGGATCTGAAACCGAAGACCTTCTTGGTCATCGATATCAGAAAGTTGTCGAAACTCATATGGCGTGGCCTTTGCCGGCGCCACCAGTTCCGGTTGGCGCCTCTGCACTGTGAAGACCAAAGAAATAGGAGAAGATGCCATTTCCTGAGTGAGAGAAAGTTTTGGTGGTTATCACACTAGAATATAGACAGGTTGTAGTGGTGTGGTGTGGTGTGGTGTGTACTATCGTAGTTCAACTTCGAGAGGTTATTTATAATGCGCCAGAGGGCAATGGGAAGTGCGAAGGCATGCCCTACAACTTTTTTTTGTGTGTGCATTATTTGGGTGGGTGGGTGTGAAATTGCATTGTAAATTTCATGTATCTTTTTCTTTTGTTTCGAAAAAGACGTGATGGTGGGCTTGACTGGAATTGGTTGTTAGGAACATACACTTCCATTTCCTACTCAATTTCATTGGGGTTTTGATCGGTTGGACTTGAACCTTTATAATAGACCTGGCCTAAAAGAAATAGAGAAAAGAAAGACTTGACCTGAATTGGTTGTTAAAAACTGTGTTTAGACACTAAGGAGTTTGTAGCGTGAGGTTCTCCCACCCGTAAATTGTCGCTTGTGTTAAGAAAAAAACCCTTGTCCACATGTATGGAGAAAAAATGGGAGCGAAAGAGATACTGATCTCCCTAGACTGGCATTAGAGGGGAGCAGATGGACCCAAATGACACACAAATTTGTTTTTTTTTTTTTTCTGTCGTATAATTCGATAATATACAGATATATAAACAGTTTTATGGGTCTATATCCAAATTAACGTTCATTGAAGCTAGCTAACATCGATGTTTTCCTAGAGTAGTTCCAGTTTCAAATGCCGCAAAAGTTTTCAGTTAACAAAAATAAAAAAGTAACGAAGGATATGAATTTGAATGTGATTTGACCTTTCCAAAACTTTTTTATTTCCCGTTGGGTTGGGTGGGTGTGAAGTTGCGTTGTAAATTTCATTGCCACTTTGATTGGATTGACCGTAACCTACCAAAATGAAAAGGAGAAAAAGAAAGACTTGATAGTGGACCTAACCTGATTTGGTTCTTGGCTACGCATTTCAGTATTTCTTAAACATAGTGCGCTGGTTTGTATTGCAGTGTTTTGGGAAAAAATTGTTTCTACTGAGTTATGAGAATAAGCAGTTATGAAATAAAACAGTAAAGTATTTGGTAAACTATAATTGTAAAAGTGTTTTTAGCAAAAAAATTAAAAAAAAAATTATTATGGTGTTTTGTAAATTTTTATGTGAAACAGGTGTGACCATATAAAATGACAAAAAAGAAACATATTATTAATTTAATTGTTTCAACAAATAAAATCAATTAACTAACTTATATTTTAAAAATTATGTTCAATTTAAACCTGTCTCTTCCACTTTAACCTTTACTCTTCTTCTCAAAATTCGTAATTCCCGACAGCATCCTCCAGGACAAAGACGACGAGGCAGAAGACGGATTTCAACGTTGTTCCTACACGGCAAGTCTTCCTTGATCTGGTGTGGATTATTTCGACGACATAAACTGATGGCATGTGGATTTGGATCCTCTGACGAGCTTCAGCTTGCATGTAGCGAGGCAGAAGACAGAGGCAGTTGAATATTTGACAAACTGTATTTTTAAAATGTTATGAAATGAAAAACAGTGTAAAAGCGTTTGGTAAATTTCAATATAAAAGTGAAATAATTGTATATAACAACAAAAATAGACGTAGTAGTAGGGGTGTTGGCAACGATAGCGGTGTCAAGGGTAGTTGTGGTGATGGTAGTGAAATGGTGGAGGGTGTGGTGGTTGGGTGCAGGGGTAGCAATGGTAATGGTGATTGGGGTGCAAAAGTTACAATGGTGGTAGAGGTGGTTGCAACATCCATGGTGGTTGAGGTGACTGTGGTGGCAGTTGTGGTTGTGATGGTGGCGGTAGTGACAGTTATGGTTGGTGGTGGTAATGGCAGTTGCGGTTGTTGTGCTAGTGATGGAGGTAGTGGTGGTTGCATCGACGATGGTGGTGATGTAAGGTTAGTGGTTGTAGTCATAGGTGGTGGCAGGTGTGGTTGTGATGGTGGCGGTGGTGACAGTTATGGTTGTTGGTTTAATGGCATTTATTGTTCTGGTGCTAATGGTGGAGGTAGTGGTGGTTGCAGTGATGGTGGTAGTGATGTAAAGTTAGTGATTGTAGTAGTAGGTGACGGTCATCACTTTGTTTTCAAAGGGTAAAATGTAGGTACAACGATAAATAAGGTCAAATTTAAAAATAAACGAGGGTATTACAGAATAAAAAATATTCATTAGGCTCAACTCTATTTTTTTTAGATTATATAAAAGGAGCATTTAAAAGCAATCTTGCTTAATTTTAAAGTGAAACAGTTTTTGGTGAATAAGATCAAATAACAAACGGGACCTTAGACCTATTAGAGGGATACTGTTTACCGTGCCAAACTCATTCTCTTAATATTTTCTTAACAGGTGACCAACTAAAAAAATCAGCAAATATGATTTAGAGCGTGAATTAGAATAAATCTCAATGGCAAAAGAAAATGTACCAAACCTTTATTGCTAGAAGTTATAATCGAAACTCACTGAAAAATTACATTTGAACTCTTAGATTAAAGCAAATTATTATAGTTCAAATCACTAAGACCATCTCCAATGGTTGGGCTAAAAGCCAAATTTTTTAGCCCGGAAAATTTAGCTTTTAGCCCAGAAACAACTTTTCTGCTCCAACCGTTCTGGCCTAAAATTTTAGCCCGGGATTATTAAAGAATGAACTTATGCTATTTTTTTTGTTAAATTAATTTTTTTAAAAAAAAATAAATATGTAGACTATCGTAAATTAATTTAATGAACATTTTAATCTAAAAAAATTTAAATTCCGATAAATATTGAAAAATCACTAAATTTCCCACAAAGTAAGCCGTCAACTTAATTAATAAAGCACATGATTAATAAACTTAATTAATAAAGCACATAATTAATAAAGCATATAATTCATACACTACATAAACTTAACAATCATATCCACTATCTTCACTTGGTGATGGACTTCGTTGAAATGTTGGGATATAGGGTTGAGAATATTCATCATCTTGAAACATACTCCTTGAGGCAGACTTTCGCATAATTTCCTTTTGCTTATCACGTAAGAACTTCTTCCTCTCTGGAGTGTATTGGCTGAGGTCCTTCATCATGAATTCAATTTCAAACCTATTTTCCTCCCTATCCGAGATTTCCTTCATTTGCAAACGCATTCGAGCCGCTTCTTCTTGGCGAGCGCTATGAGTCTCGTTCAATTTTGCCATTCCGGTATCAAGGTGTCCACTCATCAGATCTTGGGACTTCCCTTTTCTCTTTGCTTCCTTTTGCTTATCTCTTCCTGGGGGCCTTGCAAAAGAAGGAGATGGGGTCGTTTCATCAACACCTTTATCTCCGGCATTTGTCTGTGCAGCTTCACGTTGAAATAATCTTCTCCATTGTTGGTCCGCATCGGTTCCCCACCTTGGACAATCCTTGAGGATGTCCCAAGCATGTTGCAACTTAAAAACTTGATTTTTTGGTGTTACTCTTGTCTTGTAAATTTCCATTGCTTTGTCACCCTATGCAAAAAATACATAAAAATAATTAGTTGCAACATAATATTATGTACATGACAAATAAAATATCAAGAACAAAACTCACAATTTCTATGGCGCTCCTCCCACTAGCCATGCCAACCACGGCTCTCTCCAAGCTTCCCTTCCATAAAGTGCATGCTTTGTTGATAGTCTTCCACCGATCATAAACACCACCACCATCCCGCCTGCTACCATTGCAGTTTTCTTGAAACTTTGCAATGATTTTATCCCACAAAACCTTCTTATTTTGATTAGTGCCAACTGCACCATCTTCGCTAACAGAAACCCATGCCAAGCATAGAGCAACATCTTCCTCACAAGTCCAATTACGACCTCTAATATGCTCTCTTGCCATGTTGAACAATTTGGAAATGGAAAGAAATGGTAGAAAGATAAATTGGAAGAATTGTAAGAGAAATTTGAGTTTTGTGTGGATGTTTGAACAAATACATAGGTATTTATAGAGTTTTTGGGTGAATTTTGAGTTAAATAATTTTTTTTAATTATTTTAACCGTTAGATTTAAATTTGGGCCGTTAGATCTTTTTTTTTACCGTTAGATTTGATTATATTTGATCTCAGCCGTTGGATTCAATGTATTTTAAAATAACATATTTAAAAAAATCAAATTTGAATCTGGACCGTTGGATCAACCAACGGTCCTTGAAACGCAACCGTTGGATTGAAAAACTAGCCGTTGGAGTTCATCTCGGTGGCCGACAACCCGCTGACAGTGGGGCCCACCCTGTCGGAGACGGAATGCAAGCGCTCCGCGTGGGGCGCGTTCGCGAGTGAGCGGGCCGAGACTGGCCTTTGGGCCAGCGAGTCCAGTCGCGCGGGGGGGGAAATCTGGGGGGTATTTGGCCCAACTTTAATATTTGGCATTTAGCCCAATGTTTTAGCATGGGTTGGAGATGGTTTGGGGGGGAAATTTGGGGGGAAATTTGGCATTTAGCCCATTGTTGGAGATGGTCTAAGAAGAAAGTTTGATCTATACGGTCACACACTAAGAAATAAATAATGCAACGGAAAAACAGCACATCTTAAAGCTTCTCACCTCTACACGCCTCCACGCCTCTAAAAATAGTAGCTATTCTGCAGGATCAACCCCTACACCGTGAAATGCACCTATAAAACTCGCGTGAGTAAAACTTAAAAAAATAGTTTTGAACAAAGTCAATCAATTTATTAGTGTAGATAATATTATTTGTTAAAAAAAATGAATTAATTGATTAATTAACATCTTTTCATGATTGGTGCATTTCTTGTTCCTTCTAGCGTTTTTCTTCAAAAAAAAAAAAAAAAAAAAAAAAAAAATTCTCTCACGAATCTAAAATGCCAACTCATCACAAATCAAGAATAACTTGCCAAGTACATGAAGCATTTTATCGAACAGAGTCCTAATCTATATTACTATATAAAGCCGGAAGCCACGGGCTTCACAAAAAAGAATGGGACAAAAAATAACTTCCAAACAAAAAAGTTCAGGAGCAGCTAAAATAATTCATCAAATAATGTAGGAGTATTTTTGTCATATAAATAATTTTTTTTTTTTTTATAATTCGTACTTTACAATAGGCTACCAATAATGCAATTCAATCAGCTGTTTATTAAATATTATTTTATCTATTTTTAAACACATTTAAAATATCTAAAGAGGCGCGTAGTGCTAGTTATAAAAAAAAATTTCGCACGCGTATAATAATGTGATTCAATTAATCATCAAATAATTATTTTTTTTAAAACAAATAATATTATCTACACTAATGGGGAGGGATGGACTTAACCTACATGAAAGCTAGTTAAGCTTAAGTGAACTCAAATCTTAAGTCACTTACAAATTACCCCAATTTCACACAACCAAATTCAAGACAATTTCAGTTATGACATTGAACAAAAAGGTGTGAGAATGCTTTTGAGGGACAAGGATTGTCCCTCCCACTTCCGGTGCCCTTTTGTGCCCTCTTGTTTGTATGGTTATGATTAAGCCACGTCAACATTTTATATTACTATTCATTTTTATCTTATTATCTCTATAAAAAAAAACAATATAAAATATTATCATAGTTTATCTGTGACCACACAAAATAGAAAGACACAAAAGAACACTAAAAGTAGAAGGGCTGATAATCCTTGTCTGCTTTTGAGACTCCTCATCAATAAACACCACACAAATCACACACGTGTATGGTATGTAATCATGAGTTCTGTGAAGACCTAGAACATATTACATTTGTATTTTTTATATCTGAAATAGGAAATGTCGGCCCATGTTTATTCTTCATCAGATTAGTTATCTTTTATCTTCTTTCAGCCCAAACAAAAGAGGGAGAAGTCACTCTCTAGCTAAACCTACCAACCAACATAGAGAAATTATTCCTTCTTATCATTTTTGTTTCTGCTTGCTCAACCTATGTGCAAGTGTCGTGTAGCAATATAAACTTAAAAGTCTGAATGTTCGTATTCCTAAGAAAGTGTTGAAAAAAAAATGCAAAATTTGTCACAATTTAACTTTTAGAAGAAAAATTCAACAATTATAAACACTAAAACATCTGAATTCCACCTACATACATCTATTGAATTTCATTATTTCGATTCATTATAACTCAACTGAGATACAAATGTAAAATAATCTCAGTCGGATGATATGGCAATTAAATATTTTCAATATAAAACTGTTTGAAAAGTGATTTTTCATTATAGTTATTCAAAACAAAACACCAATTCAATTCCCTATAGAAATAATCCCAAAAATAATTTGTACTTAAGGCAACAAAATAATATTAAGAAAATTTTCCATCGAAATCATACCAGTCTACTAATTTGTTCAATTCACTAAAAGAAAGAATGTGAAACAAAACTATAAGAAAAACGTGATTGAACCTATGAATTATAACTAACATTCATCAATTCGAAAATAAAATAAATAAGAAATTCCTTGAAATATCCATAATGTAAAATTGACACTAAAACTCCAGAATAAAATCAAAATAATAAACTACATAATCGTAATTAATATAGATTTTTCCCCTTAGCCTAAGCTAGGGAGATTAGTTCTCCATAAACTAAATTAAACAAAGAGTTCTAAAGATTGGAAACTAACTGATAGCAGAGATGCCAGCTTCCGCTTCCACTGAGTCGACCCATCCATAACGCATGCTTATGTCACTGGATTCCTAATTTCTCTGTGTTCCTGGCCTTTCACACCTGGCGATGTCGCTGACTCAATTGCACAGGACGAAGGACGAAGGACTCTTTGTTGTTTGCACCTTGTTTGCAAGTAAGCTGCTTGCTTTTTAACTTGGACCCTTTATTTCTGGCCCAACTACCCGAGGTTGTACTTGCACATTTTCACTTCATTAATCCACTGGACCACGTGGCCTCCTCTTTGCATTCTCTTTCTCATACCTTTACATAAATAAAAGTAAACTAGTCAAGATAAATCAAACAGTTGAATAATGAACTCTCCTAACTAATCAAACTTATGAGAGCTAAAATATATATATATTAGTAAGGCAAACATGCTCGTGGGTATAATTTTTTTTATTTTTTTAACAAACGATAGAATTTACACTAAGGGGTGAGGAAGTGAGCTAAGCCTTACAATGGGCTTGCCATAACAATGTGGTTTAAATTTACTTTTAGTGAGAATCGAATCTAAAACCTCTCACTTGATAACTACATTGCAATATTTGGGAATTGAAGGGAAAATTAAGAAAAAAGGATGAACAGAAGAAAGAACACAGAGATATTAGAGAGAGAAAATAGGATTTGTATTAAATGATTGAATGAAGATTACACACTTTGTTTTTATAAGAGAAATCCTAACTACTCTAACCAAATACTAACAAACTTACTAACTGTATTGTTAACTGTATTTCTAACTGTATCACTGACTTGTACCTTTAATACTCCCCCTCAATCTCAACTGAGGTATCCCAATTTAAGATTATAGTAAAGTCTCAAATAGCAAAAATTGAAATATGGACTAATGGACGCAATACAGAGTGTTCTTGTTCCAGTTTGACTTTGGTGATGTTTTTTGATTGCAAAGGGTTTTGTTGCCCTGAGATTGCAGCAATTGAGCTTGCTTTTGCTCCTCATTTTCTTCTCACTGTGGTCCCACAAACATAAACCTAAATCCATACTTAAACTGACAGGTATCCATACTCAAACATGCTACTTCCACAGATGCTACTTAGTAAACTGACGGGTTAGAACCTAAATTCATACTCTAGAACAGTGCAATTTCATATTGGTTCTTCCCAAAGAATTTCAGCCCTATAAACTGATGTCTACACCTCTCGTATGAGCTTCAATCAAAGAATAACCTCTTATAAAGTTGTAACACACCCTCATGCCGGTTATAACAATTTCTTACAGGATTACCCTTCGTGGGATTTACATTAAAATTCCGTTTCTTTTTTGTTGGGTGGATTAATTCCGATGCTTTATCTTGTTAGTGTCCTGGAAAACTGGATATTGCATCAATGGATTATTTTTTATGCTCGAATACTTGGATTGTATGAATTTGGAGCCTCTCACCCATTTTTCTTAAATTGGGATTTTGCATTGGAAATTGTTGGTTTCAGCATAATTTGCCATACGGGAGTTTGACGGCGGAAGACTTGGACCTGCGAGTTGCAGTTCACTATGGCATCCCATCCACGGCCTCCATTCTTGCTTTCGACCCGATTCAGCGCCTTTTGGCCATTGGAACAATGTGAGTTAAAATGCACCTACTCTCTTCTTTCTTCTTTTTTGTTTATGCTGTTTTCGTTGTGCGAATTGATCAAAAACCAATCTACTTAGCATTGCGCACTGTCGTGTGGTTAATGAGGTATCTTGCTGCAAAGCATTGCTGTTCCACATTTCTCGGAATTGCTATTCGTTTCTGTGGTCCCAGAAATTTTGAATGGCAAAATACACATGTATATTTGGTGAAGCATGCTTGTAGATACTGCAATGAAGGCATGATATTACGTACATCTATTCGCAGATATGATATCCCTGCATCACACAAATCACATTGTTGTTTTGATTCTTATTTGTTTGGTAGGGATGGGAGGATTAAAGTGCTCGGTGGTGATGGTATTGAAGGACTCTTTATATCCCCGAAGCAACTGCCTTACAAATACATTGAGGTATCTGTGTGCACCATTCATTCCCCTTGTTTAGTTACAAGGATAAAGTATCAATAGTAAAGAGTTTAGGGTGAAACATTTTTTTTTTTTTTAATGATATATTTATATAACAACGATTATCGACAATCGTCATCTAATAGTGCCCTGTCTATCCCTTCTTTTTTTTCTCCGGCTATGGAGAATCTATGGAGAATTGGTGTTTTAGTAAGTCATTGACCAAATTTATTCACAACAACTACGATTATCGACAATCGCTCGGAAGTTTGAGAACTATTTAGCCCAAATGGGAAAAAGAAAAGAAAAAATCAATAAGATCGAAAAAGGAAAACAAGGCTCATCCAGTGAAAACATACACAGAAAGGATGAAAGCCAAAAGCGAATGCCAAAGAAAAGTCATTTTCCCAAACCCATTTACATGCATTTCCTCACTTTCCCATTTCCCTTTTCCAATTTTCTGTAATTATTTCCAAGTACAACTAATTCTTTCCAAACTCCAATCAAGAAAATTAAAAAATTGTATGTAAATGCAAGCTTTACCTGTAGATTAGCAACAACAAAAGCAAACTGCTTCCAACAATCTGGAGAAATTTGGGTTTTAATGATTTGAGTTAACTGAAATTGATTTGGATGAGCAGCTTTTTGTTTCGATTCATGGTGTAGCACAAATGAAGAGGTGGAGAAGTACGGAACGAAATGGTGAGAAAATTTGGTTGAGCAGTATTCCGTATCAATTGGCAGTGGAAGAGGAAGGAAACAATGCAGATGAGAGGAATGAAGCGGTGCTACAAATCGCCCTGGCATGCCATGCGTGCAATTTGGGAATTTCACTGTAAAAGCACAAAAAGTAGGAACACATAAACATTAAAATAAGGGCAAAAATGTCAAAACACTGTTGCTTATGAACAGTGTTTTCTCATTCCTCTTTAGTAAATATAAATTTCAACGAATCATTTCGACGTGTACGAGAAACGGAAGCACATGAATTTACTTGTGGGGATGAATAGTTTTATTGTTGGTCGTGACACAAGTTCAAACCTCCTTGAATTTTCCGCTTCGTGTATATAAAAAATGAGAGACTTGTTGAGTTGTTTAGGTGATAAGAAGGGATAAGATTCTCTCCAGATCTTCGGCTAAGGATCCTTTCTGCTCGCAATCGGTGTAGACCTTGTAACCCTCGCCCTCGTGAACAACAGGGCATTCTTCCTTCTGCCACCATCGAGAAGTGGGTGGGGATCAAATCGGCCACCAGCAGGCCAGTCTTTATCCGTTTGTTTGGAGCCGCAGTGGTAGTGGTGGTTTCCTCTGGGTCGGCGTTGGAGGCTTTGATGAATTCTCAGTGTGTGAGACCCAAAAGTTCTTCTTCGTCTTTGATTTCCAAGAAGAAGAGGAAGGGAAAGAAAGATTTATGAACTAAGGATTTGAATCGAACGGCCAAGATAACTTGGTCCTCAGAATTTGAAGCACACAGATCCGGAGAGAATTCTTACCTGATAAGAACCAATTTTTTATCTCCCATGCCACGTGGTAGCCACCACAAGCATCATTGGCTAGTCAAAAATGCCAATTGGCAACACCAGCATCTGCTAAAAGATTATCACTTGCAGCAACACATCATGAACCAATTTTCTCTATTCAAGCAGCGCAGCAGCTTGTTTTTTGAACATTTATCATGCCAACCAAATTCTCTCGTCACTAAAAGTCAAGGCAAATTTGTCACCCACCTTTCAACTTCACTGCTACCAACAATCACTTGGAACTGCACCCCTTTATTATTTGGTCCCATCATCACACACACTAGTGGCTAGTTTAATGACAGGGACTGAAACATATTGGGATCAAGATCAAGTTCAAGTTAGTCCAATTAGAATTCCAATTTAGTGAGCCGTCTTAGGTTTGAGGCACATTGATAGCAGTGGCGTAATATATTTATGTTAAGTTTAATAGTTAGTAAATAGTTGATTCATTGTATGGCCTAACCCAACCACCCTTCCCTTAGCAGATTATCCCATCCACTTAAATGCAGAATATTGTTGTATCAAAAAGTTCTTTTAGCACCCTCCCTTAGAGTAGATTATCCCCTCCGTTTAGACGTGGAATATAATTGTTCAAACAAATAGTCTTTTATGCAACGAAAATGCTACCTCAAGTTAATTGTACACTGTTGTGTGGAAGAATAATATGGTAACCACTTTTGAACTCAATAGTGGTCTATTTACTGACCAAGAATGAGAATGCAAAATGTGGGTATAATTCTAACTCTTGACATCATGCGTTTACTAAAATACAAGGAATAAAAAGGTAATGGAATCCCTTGTTAAACAAACGTGTTCTGTTTATAATTTCAACCATGTATCATTACAAATAGAGACTTGCTTATTTCGTACTTGAACAATGTCACGTATATATCACTTTCATATCATTATCATATCCACAAAGTAAGCAAGCATGCCCTAAATTACAACTACAACAAGAATTTTCTATCGATCGAAATAGTCCAGTCCAAGTCAAACCACAACTCACAAGTAAAGAATCCATCATTCACACTTTTTTTTTGTACTTAGCCATTTAAGATTTAACAACTTCCTCCACTTGCAACATTGCCTACTTGGAAAGACATCCCACCCCGAGGGGAGTATTTATCAAATATAGCAAAAAATTAAGGGAGTTTTAACAGATCACTCTCGATACTGTTCACTTTTAATGAAAAACCACATTTATACATTTCGTTGGTACTATTCATTATACCTTTAAAAAAGGCTTTTCATTAAAAGGAGAGTTTTTTTGGATTTTTCGTTAGTTTTCCCAAAAATTAACCCTTAATTTCAAAAATGTCAATTTTTATAAAAACTTTCAAATACATCCAAATTTTCACTTAAATAGACACAAATACCTCAAATTAAAAATTAAATAAATTAAAGGTTTTTTAGCTACCGTCGCCTCAAGCTCCGATCCAACTCACCTTTGCTTCTACACTCCACCACCACAACCCTATCCCCTTCGACCCCTAATCACTGACATTGAGCGCTGTCATGGTTATCACAAGTTGGAGTAGCAGAATTTCAACCATGCCTACTAATATCATTTTTAGTTTTAAATATAAAAATAGTTTTAAAGTTAATCCACATGTCGTTATATGATTGTATTTGTAAGACCCACCTGATGCCACATCATTACACTAACAGAGCAATTGACATATTTTTCATGAAAAAGCTAAAATGATCACGATGGACAAATTTGAAGAAAGACTAAACTGATTCACGATAGATAAATTCAAGAACACTATTATTGATTATCATTAATTGTTAAGGACCAAATTAAGATGTTATGTCAATATCACGAATCATTTTGGCTAAAAAACCTTTAATTTATTTGATTGTTAAATTTGAGAGTATTTGTATCTATTTCAGTGAAATTTTGGACATATTTGAAAGATTTTATAAAAAATGATATTTTTTAAGTTAAAGGTTAAATTTTTGCAATATTTGATAAATACTCCCCCGAGGGTTTAACCTCCCCATCCACCCACCCACAAAAACCCAAAAACGATGACTTGGCTTCACACAATCCCTCCGCTTGGCAGCCTTGAGAGGTGTTGCCCCGTCATCCAGAAGAAATTTTTAATTGTGACAGAAATATAAATGATACATTAAGTATTTTTATATAAATAATAAGAAATTTTATTTTTTAAGTTATTAACTTTTTAACATTAATACGAAAAATCTCTCGTCATCCGGGTAGCCCAAAACAAAACCTCGACGATATACGGAGTGGCGGGAACGATCAGATTGCTTATAGGTAAGTCAATTGCTTGCTTTTACTCGCTCTGGAGTATTTCGAAACGAAAATGTGTAACTTTTTTCCGTTGTATTGTATAAATCTGTGGATTGAATGGCTATATTTCCAGGGAATGGTGTTTGTTTGCTGAATTGATGTGTTTAGTGCAGGAAATTGTGCTCTTGTAATAACTTCGCGGACGGAAGTTGGGACTTATCTCGGCTTCCCTGTTTATCGACTGACCTCGATGAGGTTTCTGTCCTGCAACGATGGTATGAAGAATTCAACTGCTCAGGAGGTAAGGGTTTTGATTCTTTTCATTCGTTAGCGAGTTTGAGAGTGACTTGGCATGTTTTAATTTTGTGATGTGTTTGTGCAGAAAAAGGATGAGGCGTACTTCATGGCTCTGTTGAAAACAGTCCAATCAACTCCGGGGCTGTATTTCTCGTACAAGACTGATATAACACTAAAGTAAATTCTTATGTCTATTTATGTATCTATTCGGTAAAGTGTTGTATTTATTTATTTAATCATATATAATTGATCATTTCTACCAGCTTTCAAAGAAGATGTAAGTTAGTGGAAGGATGGATGGCCAAACCAATATGGAAGCAGGTTAGTTGGAAATTTGGAATATTGGGTTTATCGGGACCTGATTATTTCTTAAAAGTGATTCATGTTATATACATCAGGTGCATATAAGCATATATATTGTCCACACGTTTAGTTTACTAGGCATCCTCAACTCTTTCCAATTCAGAGGGTTAATGGGGAAAGAAAGGAAAACCGCCCTAAGGATTTGCCAAGTTCTGTGTTTTTGTGCACTATACTTATCTTTTGTTCTCAAGGTGAAAGTTTCAGCTCAATAAAGATACCTTCTCAGTTCATATCCTTGAAAACATGCCATCCTTTGTGCAATTTTTTGGTTGTCAAGAGATCTCCCTTCCCCTTTATCGAAAGGATTTTTTTGTCAGCACTAGAAGACGAGAAAGCATGAGTATCGAGTCAACTGACACACCATATCATATGGATGTTTATCAGTTTTTTCTCTTAATACCATTTTAGCTCCTATCAAATGTTTACTTTACACATTATGATCTATGACTAGTAATTGCTTGGTAGTTTTTAACATTATTTGTGTTTTCAGGCTGAACCTCGATTTGTTTGGAACAGAAATCTTTTGGACGAACTTATCAAGTATAAGGTTAGACTTTCCATCTTTGAGGTCATAATTAGTTAAACAATTTGAAGTATTTTCTGGCTTGCCGCTACTTAATGTATATCTTTAAGGAAGAACAGCATTTCCAAAAGTCGTCAGTTCTTCGCGCACAAATTTTATTGCTAATGCTCATTAATTTTCTCATGGCAGCTTGATGGGTTCATTATTCCTCTAGTACAAGGAAATATCCTGAACTTACTGATTTCTTATGTGTATGTCCCTCTCTCTCTCTCTCTCTCTCTCTCCCTCTCTCTCCCTCTCTCTCTAAGATTGAGATTCAGAGTTTAGGTGAGTAATATGTTATGGTGTTCCTTGACCTACATTTAAGCTTCCAGACTGCACAGCTAAAGCTAAAGGGCTTATCTGCCACACTTACGATAGTCTCAAGGAGGTGTACCTGGCGTCTAGGCACAATCTTATAGAGATGATTGATTCTTGTAGTCACTTTTGTGTCTGTATCTGCATGTTTTGAAGGACTTAAACATGAAACACTGTAATGTGGTCACGTAGGGACAAGAATGTGGAGAAGAGGAGCCAACCTTGATGGAGATGTTGCTAATTTTTTGGAAAATGAGCAGTTGGTGGAGATTGAAGGTTTCCAGCCTGCATTATTGCAGGTAATTCTCATATGAAGGTTCAGAAAAGAAATGTGTGCTGAGGTATTATTGTATCGGAGTATTTTTAGTTACTATTATGTTTCTTTGCCTAAATAGGACATTAGCTTATATCTTGGTCTCATTGTACATGTGATCAACTAAGTTGGCCGAGGATTAAACATTTGAGAAAAGTATATTCTGTTGAGAATGAATCCCATATTGATGGGAGGAGGGACCTTGCATGAGCTTATAAGTAAATTGGGCTAATCCCCATATTGCGAATTGGTTTTATGGTGGAACCTCAACTTTCTTCACATTCTGCCCTCCTTGTTGATGTGAGAAATATCATAATTGTAGAACTTTGTCATTCTTTTCTGAGGTTTATGGACTGCCCCTCACATAGATGAAACTTTTGTACAGTTTAGTAAGGATAGATTGGTTTTTGCCAACTTATATACATTTAGAGAACTTTTTCAATACTATACTTTCTATATATGCAGGCGCTGTTTCACTATTAACCCTTAAGACTGATAATAGATTGGAAGTTTTGTCATAAATTAATTCAAGAAGATTTATTTATCTATTCCTTTTTTCTGAATAAAGACCCTCCATAATACTTTTGATATGTTTTTCAGATTCGAGGTTCAATTCTGCTTCTTTGGTAGCAAATTGTTGACTTGAGCTATAAACCACAACTTTGGTAGCAAATTTGTTGCCAAAGATGCAAATCCATCCCTTTTTACTCTTTTCTGGCTTCTGGTACAGTTCTTGTTAGAGTAGTTTCTGAACTTTCCCAATCTACTTACAGTCAAATGTTGTGGAGCGCCATTTTTTTGATCTTTCCCAAAGATATGGAGAGACAATGGCAATAGACCTAACTGATAAAGGAAGGGTTTCTTCTCTTTTTAATTTTTTACTTTGAATTTAACAATCCTTGCACACTGGTTCACCTTTACGTTAAGCTGAAAAGTTTGTAATTTTTTTCCTTCAAATTGTGTTTGTACGACATGCTCACCTTTTTGTGGCTCTGGGATTCGCTAAATAAGCAATGGTGCCTATAACTCGTCCCAGCTGATTGCTTGTGCTACACAAGTTTTACTGTTTTTTTAATTGTATGCAAAGTATATGTTGTTTCATATATTTCCAGTTATAAGTTTTCCATTTATTGTTATTTGTAGCATGGTGATGAAGGTCAACTAAGCACGGCATTTTCTGCTGAAATGCAAAATCTACCAAATGTGAGGTGACAATTTGCATACTTATGTATGCAACTATGTTGGCTCCCAACTGAATCATTTTCCCACTTCAAGTGGATTCCTTTTTTGTTTTCGAGGTTGCTTAAAACGAAGTCAGTTCTATTGGTTGGCATTGGGAACAATGTCAGAAATGAGATTTTGTTCTCAACTTACTAGTGTTTTTGTACCAGATACGTTTCATTTGACTTTCAACATGTATGTGGTAACTCAAACTTTGAAAACCTAAAGGTTCTATACGAGCAGATCTCAGAGCAATTTGAAAAGCAAGGGTAATGAAAGCGTAATATCTGATTGAATTAAGTATGCCAAAATCCAGGTATGCTGGCTATATGTAATACTGTTTTTAATCAAAATTGTTCCAGTTGAGCAGATACTTCCTTGTAGATGCGAAAGGCAATATACTGGAGGAGCAGAACTGCATTGATTGCCTTGATTGAACAAATGTTACTCAGGTTTCTAAGAAAATTACCTAGTGTGATTGATCTTAATAATTTGTGCCAATATGATATACCATATGCCATTGCATGAGTAAACTGAGATTTGATATTCAATTGTTTACTGGTTCGTTATTTTGTAGAGTTGCTTGGCCCAGAAGTCTCTAGATGCACAGTTGCAGAGGACTGGAGTGCTGGATTCTTCTGAAAGCATTTCTATGTTTGCTGAAGACTACCAAACATTTAGAGCATGTATGGAATTATTCGTGTCATGTATCCTGTCTTTCATAAATGATCAAACGATGTCTATAATAAGTTGTTATACTTATTCTCAATTCCGGGTCTTTGGTGTGGGCGGAGCAAGGTGACGATATAAGCTTCGACTAAGCAAGGACGTATGCCCTTAAAGGGAACCTTGTTAGGTAAATTCAGCTGTATAGTATGACTCGAATCATGGACAATATATATAATGTAATTATGTATATATGTCCTTTTTTTTTTCGAATCATATTCTGGATCCATATGACCGCAGATAAGGGAAGTAGACATTTGGAGGAATAATTAAAGATGGGATGAGTGCTCTTTCAAGATATATTTTGAATAACTTTCAGGATGGCATTCGGCAGGTAAACTGCCTCTCTTTGGCAAATAGAGTATTCCTCATCTGCATGAAAGCAAGTGACTTCCATGTATATATACTTGCTTAAAATAAGTTTCAAATTTGTTCAGGATGCTATGGATCTTATCAGTGGCCGCTGTACAGTTAGAAGGGATATTTCACCATCCCGGGCTGAATCTTTTTCTGTAAGTACAATGAATCTTTCAAAGAAATTGAAGTGCCTGAAGTCCTTGTCTGGTTTTATATATCCCTTTGTTATCAGTTATACAGATCCCGGGTAGGATAATAAAATCTTGGTCCATCTTCTCGGAACCTTGATATTTTAGTTTATGATCGTTTGGGGAGTACCCTTATGGTTCAATTGCATCTCATGAAAGTAAATTTATTAAGAAATCATGCCTACTTTAGCAAATACGAGCGATATTTAATGGATATGCCTTTAGTAACGAAAGGAGAAGTAAAATTCAATTCTAGCAAACTTGATGTTTGATTGGCCAGCTTGGCATGTAATCATCATTAGTTGGCCACGAATGTACGTAACTTGTGCCGCTTTTAAAATGCCTTCACTGAATCTATGGTCAAGTTTTAAGTGAGAACAAACATTGCAGTATCTACCGGTGGCATCAGCTTTGCTAATTGGAGGGTAGACAATGACATCCGTCACACTTCAACAAGGTATTACTATTATTTGGTTTTGCCTGAAATCTTAGCACATGGAACTTTGTTCTCAGGTGCGAGTTCTATTCAATATTCACTAAGACCTGAGAAATTTCGAATCCAACTTGCAGCAGGTCGAAATGCCCAACAGTACATGTCTTCTATTCTTTGTGCTAGAGTGACTGCTGGAGTAGCGGCAGCGGTTAAAGCTAACGGAAGGTAATTCTGTTTGAGACCTCGCTTGTGCAGACTAGTGTAACATTATTCTGAACTCGTTCATTCAAACCGTAGAGTTACTGTGTTGCAAGCCTTGTAATTTCGTAGCTAATATTTACAAGTGACTTGTGGTTAAAATGGTAAACTTGTTTTACTGTTTCCAGTTGCAGCCGATAAATTACTTAGTACATTTGGCCACGAGTTCAAATGGCAGTACAATTGGATATGGTACACTCCTTTAGACATTGTTTTGATAATCTTATGCAATCCAAACAAATTGAAATCGCTCTGAATTTACTCCAAATCTAACATGATTTCAACTGGACGAAATACTTACAATGCCCTTTTGTATTTACTGATGCCAGTTAAACTCATCTCTTCTTGATCGTTGTTAACTTTGCAAACCCTGACTAGAAATAAATATAAAAAGCAGTACGAGAAAATCTGTCCTATCGCCAATTGTTCTCTCGTGTAAAACCTAGTTCTATACAAACTTTGATTGAAAACTTTCTAGGGGGATGACAAGGATCAGACTGTTGTGGACTAAGTTGGTCTGACTATTCCAATCCTCCTAAGCTGTGGACTAAAGTTGGTCTGACTCTTCCGTTCCTTCTAAGCTGTGGACTAAGTTGGTCTACCTTAATATCTGTGGCCATCCAATCTCAAGTGTTTTTTTCTTACATGTGATAAGATTTCTTAATTTCTGTTGGCTAACTATTAAGTTGGTCTATCTTAATTTCTGTGGCCATCCAATCTCAAGTGCTTTTTCTTACATGCGATAAGATTTCTTAATTTCTGTTGACTAACTACTAAGTTGGTCTATCTTAATTTCTGTGGACATCCAATCTCAAGTGTTTTTTCTTACATGTGATAGGATTTCTTCTCTTTAGTGCTTTTGTGAAAATTAAACTTTGGTTTTCTGGTTTTTCATTTGTCTTTGAACAATGATGGAGCATTCACGTACTATTCCTAATCTGGTTTTGTTGAAATTCCTGCATGGCTTCTTTCTCTTAGTCTTATGCATGATGAGCACATGTCCGGAATCTGCTGCATTTCCCAGCTCTACCCTGCTTGGAAACGAATCTGATCGCTTGGCTTTGCTAGACTTCAAGAAAAGAGTAACTGAAGATCCCCTCAGTGTCATGAGCTCGTGGAATCATTCCATCCACTTCTGCAGCTGGGTAGGCATTACATGCCACCGTGCCACCCAAAGAGTCTTGATTCTGGACCTGCAAGATAAACAATTGGTAGGCTCCATTCCACCTTCCATTGGGAATCTTACTCGTCTAATTGAAATAAGCTTGGGAATCAACCAGTTTCATGGTGAAATTCCTCAAGAATTGGGTCGACTGTGGACCTTGGAAAGTCTCAACCTGTCTTTCAATTCTTTAGGCGGGAAACTTCCGACTAATATGTCCCACTGTACACAACTCAGATTTTTGGATCTTTTATCCAATAAGATCATTGGGTCAATTCCACGCCAACTGAGTTCATGGTTGAGTTTGACTGTTCTACAACTTGGAAAAAATAATCTCAGTGGAACCATCCCAGGTTGGATAGGAAATTTTTCTTCTTTGAGGAGTCTTAGACTTGGCGGCAACAATTTTCAAGGAAGCATACCAAATGAGCTCGGGCATATAACAACCTTGGAATTATTCATAGTTGTGAACAATAATTTGTCTGGTATGCTCCCTTCTTCAATTTATAATATTTCTTCCATATACATATTCGGTGTTGCTAAAAACCAATTCCATGGAGAGCTACCACCAAATCTCGCCATCTTGTTTCCTAATCTCGTACAATTTTACTGTGACATAAACAATTTCACAGGAAATATTCCTGTATCATTGTCAAATGCATCTAGACTTCAGGTGATTGATTTTGCTACAAATGACTTCACGGGGACAGTCCCTGGAGAAAGTCTCAGAAGCTTGCGAAGCTTAATTTCGCTAAACTTTGCACAAAATCGACTGGGAAATGGAAAACTTGGTGATTTGAGTTTTCTCAATTTCTTGACTAATTGTACTAGTCTTCAAAAATTGCGTCTTGCCTATAATCGTTTTGGAGGAGAAATCCCAAGATCCATAGCCAACCTTTCGACCCAACTACAAATTCTTACTCTAGGGGGAAATATGTTACATGGAAGCTTCCCAAACGGCATCGGAAATCTGATAAACCTCATTGGTCTAGAGATGGCTCGGAACTATTTGGCGGGTGTTGTCCCTGAAGAAATTGGGAAGCTCGAGAAGATGGGGGAACTGTATTTGTATGATAACAAATTTTCTGGGCCAATTCCATCTTCCCTGGGTAATATGACTTCATTGATAGAGCTCTACATGGATAGAAACAATTTTGAGGGAAGCATACCTCCAAGTCTCGGAGACTGTCCAAAGCTGCTAGTACTTACACTTCATAATAACAATCTAACGGGCAGCATACCTCAAAAGCTTATGGAGCTTTCAACCCTTTCAATTGTTTTGGACCTGTCTGAAAATTATTTGATTGGTTCACTGCCAAGTAATGTGGGTGATCTGGTGCATCTCACACTGCTAAATGTATCAAAAAACAAGTTATCAGGTGAAATCCCCAGCACCATTGGCAGGTGTACTAGTTTGGGGGGCTTGTACTTGGACGACAACAAAGTTGAAGGAACAATTCCTCAGTCTCTTAAAGATTTAAAGGGCTTGGAAGAACTTGACATTTCAAGCAATAACTTATCCGGGCAGATTCCTGAATTCTTAGGCAAGCTTGGAGCACTTAAGTATCTCAATCTTTCTTATAATGATTTTGAAGGCGAGTTGCCTAAAGAAGGAATTTTTTCAAATGTCAGTGGTGTCTCGGTTCTTGGAAATTATAGGCTCTGTGGTGGCATCCCACAATTACATCTACCTGCATGCCCCAAAAACAAACACCATTCATCTCGAGGACTACTTTCCCCAAAAGTAGTCATCCCTATATCTTGTGCACTTGCATTCATAATTGCTCTATCATGCTTCTTCAGTGCTCGTTCAATGCTGAAAAAGTCAAGAGATGGACTTGTAACTTCACGTTCTTATAAGGATTGGAAATTAGGTGTTTCCTACTCACAACTTGTTGAATCGACTAATAGTTTTTCAGTGGATAATTTGATTGGTTCGGGAAGTTTTGGTTTTGTTTATAAAGGTGTAATTCCTAGCGATGGAACGGTAGTTGCTGTTAAGGTATTAAACCTTCAACAACAAGGAGCGTCCAAGAGTTTCAATGATGAATGCAAAGCTTTAAGAAGTGCCAGGCATAGAAATCTTGTCAAGATCATAACTGCATGCTCGAGCATTGATAATCATGGTAGAGACTTCAAAAGTCTAGTCTTCGAGTTCATGCCAAATGGAAGTCTTGACTCGTGGTTGCATCCTAGAGATGAGGATCAATCTCCAAGTAAGAGATTGAATTTTATGCAAAGATTGAACATAGCCATTGATGTTGCTTCTGCGTTAGATCACCTCCACAACCATTGTGAAACGTCCATTGTTCATTGTGATCTAAAGCCGAGCAATGTACTTCTTGATGAAGACATGGTAGCCCATGTTGGGGACTTTGGTTTAGCAAGGTTCCTCTTGGAAGCATCAAATGATCCTTCTCTTAGTCAAACAATGTCATCGCAGCTCAAGGGTTCTATAGGTTACATTCCTCCAGGTATGAGCTTCCATCATTCTAATTTATATTTTCGGTTCTTAATTATTAACTTATTACTAAAAACCAACTAATTAAATTCTATTTATTAAAGATATACTATTGACTCTTTTTCCTGGAAACAAGTAACATTAATCTAAAATAAGATATCAATTTTAATAGTCAATTGCATGTGACATCTTATTGTCTATATGTATGTCATGGCAGAGTACGGCATGGGAGGCCAAGTTTCCATACATGGAGATGTTTACAGCTACGGGATACTTTTGCTAGAAATGTTCACAGGAAAAACACCTACTGATGACATGTTCATCGAAGGTTTAAGCATTTACAAATTTGCAGCCATGGCTTTGCCTGACCATGTCATGGATGTTCTTGACCCTTCATTGCTCCTTGACTTCGAAGCTGATGGTAGTGTTAACGATGACAGATACGAAAGGACTACGCTGCCCAAACGTAACAATCGCGGAATGGTGAAAGCAAAAAAGGTAGAGGAATGCTTGTTTGCTGTGATGCAGATAGGACTTTCCTGCTGTGCAGTATCACCAAGGGAGCGAATGCTTCTGAATATGGTTGTTGGAAAAATGAGTGCAATTAGAGGCTCGTACCTCAAAGTTCAAGAAGGCTAAAGAATGGCAAAGATATCTGCTTGTGGTTTTTCTTTTCTGTACCTTTCCTACCATCGCTTTGAACCTTGCCTCTTTTATGTTAGCGGTTGTTTTATAAGGACGAAGTTTTCATTTGTATGACCTGAAGCTTTCAAATTCTTATTTGTGTGGAGCTATTTGTAATTGTCTTGGTTATGTCTATCCTGTTTAGAATTTGATAAACTCAATGCTGAAGTAGTTTATAACATTTTAGTCGCATATTTCTTCCTAGATGGTTGCATGTGCTACACAAGTTTTGTTGGATTTTTTTGTTTTTTTTTGTTTTTGGTAGCATGTGGGTTATGGTTGTGACGAAGGATGAAAGATTGTTTTAAGGCACGTATAATTATGTTGCCGTTCATAATCTATTTGCCCCGACATACAATGTGCAAAAGGGATATGCGAATAAGCCTTGTGGATACAGTTAAGCCCGACGTTATGCCTATTGTTTATCCAAGTTTTGCACACTCCTAAAACAAATTCCAAACACTCAAGGAGATAGACAAGAATAGTCAAGATTTAACTAGAAATTGATACTGCAGATTTGGTTTTTAGGCTTTCATTATGTCAAATAATAGGAATATAAAGATAATTCTCACTTTTTTTTTCTTCTCTCTAGCCTTGATATCACTTACATGATTTTCTATGTTGTGTCGGGTTCGTTCTAAAACATTTGATCGAGTTGATTTTATAGGCAAATAAATAAGATAGCATGCCTCAAAATATGTTTTCCGAAAATAAATTTATTTTATTATAACAGGTCGTTCCCCTTTACAACATAAAATTGGTAAATAAGAAAAACAAATTTTGTTATATGAATTTTTTTAAACAAATGATATTATCAATAAAGAAGTGGATTAAGTATTTAACAATAATGTGGTTGAAATTTGTTTTTATCGTGAGTCAAATCTCCATTTACCCATATGTTAGCCAAGCCCAGCTCCCCCAATCGCTCCGATCCCCTGTTACAGTAGCATCCCTTCATCCGAGTCCTCTCCAGCTATCTTCAGTAAGCTTTGCTCTTTTCGCTTCTCGTTCTTCCTCTCTAGTTTTCGCATATGTAGAAAACTGCTGCTGTATTTTGATTATTTCCATCTAAAATTCAAATTTCTAGCCGAATGCGCATTGGATTACTTGTTTTAGGGTTCCTGTTCTGTTCAATTTATTAATCGTTTCATCTATTTACACAGCATCTGTAATTCCCACAATTTGTTTTCTGAGATGGCAATTAGCCAAACATCGGAAGCACCCAGAAGTTGACAGAGTAATTAGAAATTAAAAATTTTGGATTTTTTGGGTTTTTTTGGTATTGGAGTTATGGGGCAATGAACTGCTTTGCATTGATGAATTGGTGTGACAAAAGTAAACCACTTTTATTATTTTTGTGCATAGTTGCAAAAACAGATCATGTTTCGCTTAGCTTCTGGAAATCATTTTGTTTTGTTCATCATCGAGACTTAGCCAATATTCTAATCAGGTATTTTTCTTAGGAAACTTGCTTGTTGCTGCTTGTATGTTTGACTGTTGTACTTTCTCGTTCGATACGTTTCCAACCTACTCTCATTCTGTGGCTAGTCTAGTTAAGGAATTAATGACTTCCATAATTCTCACTCGTAATCTTTGTATGTGGCATGCATCTACGGATGTTTGAACTCCTCGGTGTTCTTGGAGCTTTGTTAATCCAATTTCATATCTGATTTAAGATTCAGTAGATGAACTTGGCATTTCCTTTTTATCTTCTACCGAAGGGGACTCCATGCTAAAGATTGCTCAGTAAGTCGATGCTATACTCTTAAAAATCTTTCAAAATCTCAATTGAGTACACCCCGCTTAATGATTTTGGCTACCTAGTGTGTCCTACCCTTTGCTCCCGAGTCCAATCCCTTCCCCCGAGATTAGGGTAGTCAAAAGAAAGGACCCCATTACTATGCGATTCAAAACTTATGGTCTACAAATGAAGGTCAACAACTTTATTTAACATTGGCTTGGGCCTTTAAAACAGAAAATTAATAAATTATAGTGTGGCATCGGCCTTAACTAGAGTACCACGGGATCGCCCTTTGTGGATTTTACCAAAAAACAAATACTCTTAACAATTTCAACAACAGAAAATCAACATCTATGTAGGATTACCCTTCGTGGGATTTACCTACTCACATCAGGGAATTACCCTTCGTGGGATTTACCGTTAATAACTTCTTCTATTCTTCGTGGGATTTACCTATCCACATCACGGAATTACCCTTCGTGGGATTTACCATTTACTTCTTCAAACTTCATCATATAACCGGACTTACTGTAGATTCATGTTAACAACTGAGTTGGTTAGACTCGACATTATAGGCTGAGATTAGGGAAAATCACTGCAAACTCCTCAACAGAATTGCAAAAAAAAAAAAAAAAAAAAAAAAAAAACAGTGAAGTAGAGAGAAGAATTGGATATTGCAAAACTTCTTGACTAAATCGACAATGAACACAAGAATCCAAGAATCCATACCCATTTTATCAAACATATCAAGATTTGCAGAAAAATCAAGAGCATGAACCCAATGAAAAGTCCAATCAAAGCAGCAAAGACCAACACATCAGAAACTTGAACATCTCGGCCATAGCAAGTACTAAGAAAATACTGCACCATATAATTGAAAAGAAGGAAGTTGTCCCCATCCGAACTAAGCTATCAAAGCCCCTTAAGGTGCAATACAACCAGGCATTGATAAAAGAAACAATATACTCTCACACTGCATAAGCCACTTCAAAACGAATGAATATGCCTGCTCAAACTTTGTTTTGACATAATCACGGGCATATAATGCCTTACTTCCAAAGAAAACTCAAACTGGCAATGCCACTTTCCATAATCCAACAATATTCTTGAAATTGGGATCACACAGAAACACAAATACCCAAATCTTAAACAAATATAGTTCCAAACGACAACATAGGCCACAACTAAGTAGTAGAATCATAATTCTTAACTAGCAACAAAAAACTTGAAAAACCCAGAAAAGATCCATTATAATTGTTCAAGAATTCAGAGAAAATGGACTGAAAACATAACCTTCAAATGAAACTTGTGAACTGGGACTTTCTTTAAACACCTGGACTGCATTAAGCATTGATGTCAAAACCACTCCTCAAAAGATCAGCCATATCGTTCTTCGTCATCTTTATATTTAATACATCTTGCTCTCTGAGGATTCACTCACGATCCCCTGAGAAACCCGTGCCGAGAAGAATCTCTCCAATGAGGCCGCTGGCGAGAAGAAGAAGAAGAGATCGAACCAAGTGATGAACACAAAGAAGAAGAAGAAGAAGAAGAAGAATCTCCCCAATGGTAGTAGCAATAGTAGTAGCAGTCACCGATTGGGATGAAAGGATTCCACTGGACCCAAAATAAAAAATTGGTTGACACCCCATCTTCTTTCCTTGTATTAAGAACTCGATGAAAATTTCCATTTTTCACGATTTCATCTTTGTCGTCCTCAATGGCGACTTACTCATCTTCTTCCTCCCACCAAGAGAAACCACAAAAGGTTCAATTCTCGTTGGACTCCGCCATGTACGAAAACCTCTAAGAAATTGGCTCTAGCGACAAGAATTGCATCAAGAAGCACACCAGACTCAGAATCTTATCCATGGCCAACGCTGGTCTCGGAACCAATGGATCTCAGTTCTTCATATGCACTGCCAAGACCGAGTGGCTCGACAGCAAGGCTGTCTACATCCTCATGAACTCTGCAATTGTCACAATCAAGTCTGTCGACCTCGACTAATCCACAGTTGATTTCAAGAGCAAACTACGCAACCCCCTAACAATTGCAACAATCAACCCATGCTCGTGGAAGCACCGAAAATTTAATGGAAATTTGAAGAGAAACTAAACTAGGAAAAAAAAAAATGTAAACTACTACGAAGAAAAACCACCAGAATCCATGGCGTGAGCCTAGTGGCTCCGATACCATGTTAATTACATTGCAATATTTGGGAATTGAAGGGAAAATTAAGAAGAAATGATGAACAGAAATCCTAACTACTCTATTTTTATAAGAGAAATTCTAACTACTCTAACCAAATAGTAACAAACTTACTAACTGTATTGCTAACTGTATTTTTAACTATATTACTAACTTGTACCCTTAATATCACTTACAAGTAAATAAAAATACCACCAGACCGCACTACTAAATGGCTGCTCATGGGTATAATTTAAATACACAAAATGTATACTATTGAGCTATTATCACTTTCCTAATCCATTTTGTGATTATCTTCTGCTATATGCTTAGTACATGATCTGCTATATGCTTAGTGACACTACTATGCTGACTATTGTAGACTATCTAACCAGGAAGTGGGGGGTTTTTAAAAACGGTGAAAACCTTGAGAAGGAGGCGGAGGAGCTAGGGTTGTGGTGGAGACTCTGTAGCTGCAGGTGGCAGTTTGGTGATTTTAGATTGCTCTATGAGCAGTCTATACAGCTGACAAATCTCAGCTATAAAGCAGGTGCTGGAAGATCTAGGTTCAGGTTTCAAAAATGACACATTTCCTATTGGGTGTCTTGAGTATTTCTTTTCAATTTGCTTTATCATGTTGTATTCTTTATTTTGATCCCAAAAAAAAAATCCTCTGAGTACCTATTTCGTGTTTCTACCACCCTACTTGAAGCTTTGAAAAATCATAAGAATTGAAGTTACGAAATGGTCATAATTTCTTGGTGCAGATTTCATAACTTTCAGTTTCGTAGTCCCTTATTTCGTCCGTATTTTCTTTCATTACAAAGCTTATTTTCAAAATATTCTTTCCGTAGGATTGAAGAGGGATTCATAAGCTTTAAATCAAGTACTTAAACGAAAATTTTCATTTATATTTAATGGGTTAAAACCATGTTCAAAAGGGTCCCTTTGAACCCGTGTAAAACTCTGGTACAGATTCTTTTGCACATGCTATTTCAACTCGTGATTCTTCCAGATATCCAATGAATATAAACTCATAAATTTTCGTTGAGTTTTGATAAGTAAAAAAGTTGGTCATATTCTGTCCGCAAAACTGGAAAACATATCAGTTTTTCTGCAGTTTGGCTTTGGTAGAGATGGTGGACGGTGATTTTATATTACAATATTCTAAAATTTGCTTTGCCTGTCGTTTCTTGTTACTCCGACATTCAGCTCTAGACTTGAGGGTGCCTAAGAGCTCGAGAAAAACTAA